GGTGCCATATAACTTCTGATGTTACAGTTAATTAAGCAAATGTATTTATTGCTACTTTAATGTGAGTGATAAATGTTTTATGAATTTTACCACTTTAAATATCATAAAAAATGACTTTATAACAAACTACTAAAGTAATTTACTTGAATGATTTTCGTGCTATATTGAACCACACATTAAAATTTGATGGGAATGTAATAAAGTGCAATATCATCTCATTGCATTTGATTTTCAAACATTTCAATTTCTGATTAAATGACTTGTAACCAGTAAGTTACAAGTAACATACATCATAGTAATGTGGTATGAGGGCTACAGCTGTAAATTTATCTCAAACCTATTAACAATTTTTGATTTTCTTACATATTTGGACCACATGACATTTTTCTTACACGCTTGGACCACATGACATCGCTAAAAGAAAGATATACCACAATTTAAATAATATGTTATTTCATCTATTGTTATACTCGGTGAACATCAAAGATATTTACATATCTCACTGTAAAAACTCTGTACTATCATGGACTTTAATTGTAATATAAATCCGTGGTTCTATGAGGCACAATCATAACTGGATATAAAAATATAATTAATTGCAAAAATGCAACCCATAGATAAAACAAAATAAATAATCTATCGTCTGCATTGATAGATCCTTATTCTGACCTTTTATTTGAAATAAATATAACCAGAACAGAACAGACATTTTATTTGGCAAAAACATATATACGTGTTAATCGCCAATACGTTGTGACAATGTATGGCGGTAAAGAGTAACATTACCGTGAGAAAAGTAGAACATAATTTATCACATCAACATATTAACAAGACATTCGAAAAGCTGTTAACAAATTTATATATACAAACTATAATACAGGAAATACATTACATATGTAAATTATACATACATGTTTCTTAAACAGGGTGATTGACATGTTTAATTGTATTTTAAGAATTTAGTTAGACAATTTTGAGAAGAAAAGAAATAAATATTTTTTATGACAATTATACAGTTAACCCTTTACCTCATATATACGCGAAACAACGCACTTTCGACCCCCCCCCCCTCTTTTAGGCCTTAAAATAGTGAAAAAATGTCCTATTTGGGCCCCAAACACGTTTTCGTTTGAGAAATGTTGATTAAAAAATTGAGCACTTTTTCGGCGCCGAACCCCATCCAAAAGATATATCAGGGGGTTGCCAGAAGGGGGATGTGCCCCCTTCTGTTTGGGGGTTTGAAGGAGGGGGGTAATCCACCTCATCGCCAAGAAAATTTTGGACTTGTGAGAGGCTAAAAATGACCCCAGGTCGATCATAAGGTAACGTGTAACCAACCCTGAAAAGCCTTTGACTCTATCTCAATCGCTTGAGAAGTTGCAGCACTTAGAAATAAATTTTGATGGAAAAAATCAAGGCAAAAATAGTGATTTTTGGCAATTTTGAGATGTCCCCTCGTTGCCATGGTAACAGGAAATTTAAGACTGAGCATGTTGTTACAAAGGCAATGGTCGTATTGAAGCATTTTTCATAATTTCATAGCAGTTTGAACTTGTAACAGGAGGCTTTTCAATGAAAACGGCCATTTTTCACAATATGCTCATGGGGGAAAGGGTTAAGACAGTACATAGTGTCACGACTGGACGAATACATATTTGCAAGTGTGAACTTTATATAATTTATATAATAGCATATTATATCGTTAACGTTTCTATAATTCATCGTACATTTTCACGTTTGCAATTAGTCAGATATATATATTTGGCAAGTTTGTTAAGAGTACATTTATTTTCACATTTCACCAAATTTAAATTTCTGTATACTTGGCCAAGAATTGTAATATTTTGGCAGATATTCCATTCTTATTGTTCTATAATATGGACATACCATCAAGAAATGGTATTCATTTTCAATCACTTACATGTTACATTTAGTGCATTTTCTATTGTTTCTGTCAATATTACGATGTCTGCCTTATCATGAGCAGAACATCTAAATCTACAAAATACTTTCCTGTAATGTACATTGTTAATACAAATAAGATATTTCTCTGACGAAAATGCGTTTTTGAATAAGCAACATATATCTGATTTTGACATACTATGTATATTAAATTATTATACCACATTTGAATGTATTGACCATTTGAAATATCAACGTAGTTCCACATATACGAGAAACCAAGATCATGTAATAATTCTTTAACTTCCAAAGACCATCTATTCAAAATAGTAACATTAACATCTACCATTTCATACACTTTTTAAATCAAAGAATCACGATTATTCTTCAACCTTTGTCAATATTTCAAAATTCATATTTTTTTCTATATACATACAAAGGAAATCTACCTAGTTCCCCATAAACAGTTGCATTTACAGTCTGTTGTCGGACATTTAATATTTACTTTAAAGACTTGATATGTATACGCTCAATATCTGGAGCTTTATGAAGACCCAAAATTTCAGAACCATAATTTAAGATTGGTAATACCATAGCATCAAAATTTTCATTCCCGTTTCCATTTTTAAAAAGCATTACTACAGTTGTGTTTGAATTTACCATAATACCCTACTGGGCACAGCATTGAGGTAGTTTGTTTAACAAATGCTGTAAACCATCCACAGAGTAAGAAAATAAAGCAGTATCGTCGGCAAATAGCAAAAGAAATATCTGTAATTCGTCAACAGTAAATGTATCTAAAGTGTCTTCGCTAAGTTGAATAGGCATATCATTAATAAAGAAACAGAAAAATTGGGTGGATAATGGTTCTCATTGCAATTTTGACACAATTTGAATAATATTGGTTAAGGTAAAGTAGACAAATTTCATGCTAATTATATAAGCTTAGCCTTAGCACATTCAGAGATACATAATAAGAAAAACCAATGTTCCATGGAGCAGGGCTATTTACCCCTGGGTTATAATTGGTAGATGATGTTTTATGTAAAATATCTAAGCTCTAGTCATTGTTTATACTCTAAATATAAGGAAAACCCAGGACAACTGGGGAAGGGCCAGTTTTGGTCACAGTGTCATAATTTGTAGAATCTCGACAGAAATCTATTAGATTATGTTCAATGCAAAATATCTAGGCTCCAGCCCTTGGGGTTTCAGAAAATTTTACTTTATACATTTAAGTAAAATACAGAACAACCCAAGGTTGACCCTAAAGATAAGTTTCAACAACATTGGTAAAGGACCTCTAGATGATGTCATATACCAAAGCTTTTGGACAAGATTTTTTAACTTTGCCTTAAAAACCCTTTGGTAACCATCTGACCTACTTATGAAACCAACAGGAACCATTTGAACTATTTTGCATTCCTGTGCATTTTGGATGGGTAATATTTTTTCAGAAGACATGTCGTTTTATGAAATTGTTAATGACGACGGCAGACGACACACGAAGACAAAAGCCAAACGGAGGGAGATTACAATAGCTCACCATCGGTAAGCACGTTGTGCTTACGTGAGCTATTGATGTACAGGATCACAATATGATGCTAGATGGTCTGGGCATTGCAGTGTCAGAGAAAAGTTTAAGGATATGTATAAAGTAATTTAGTCTATCTAAAGTAAATAACCACTAGAATGGGACCATTTCTGATCCTAGGGACACTAGGTCCAAAAGGCAATGACATATGCCAGATGACTAAGTTCTGCATATTGTAGTCAACAAGAGTTAAATGTTCTATCCAGTTTTGACCTCAGGGGCATGATTGATGTTACATTTGAAGAAGTTCATAAGCTAATGCTTCATAACAAAATACCGGTACTAAGCTCTAGATATCTTAGTTTCACAAAAGTAGACTATATTTTCAAATAAGTTTTTTCCTGTAAGTCTACATAAACTCTGAAGGGCGAGGCCAAGTTCAACACCAGAAGCATAATTTTCTTTTGTATAGGCCAAAATGTGGTGCTACTAGTATTAATGCTCTTTGAATAATAGTTTAAAAAATGACTTATAAGATATGTTTTCTATGTATGTCAATATAAACTATGTGGTACTTTGACAGACCATTTTTTAAGCATGATTAATTCAACTTTTGTAAATGTCTACATAACAAATGGCTAAAGCTACATAACAAATGCCTAAACTCTAGGCATCAAGAAGACTTAAATGTGTAATTATACATGCCAAATATCTAAGCTCTTATCGATAAAGAATCACAAACAACAACTTTAAAGTGTTTTCTTGAGTAAGCGTTTTTAAAAACTAAGTAAAACTCTAGGGTGGGGCAAGTAGTATATAGTGAAAAAATCAACAAAGGGCCATAATTCTGTGAAATTTGGTCGCAGCAAAAATTCCTTCCTTCACTACCATCTACACATTAAGGTTGTTCATTCCTGGAAGTTTAAGCAAAATCTGCCATCCGGTTTAAGAGGAGTTGCGTTCACAAAATTTCTACATAGTATATAGTGAAAAAATCAAGAAAGGGCCATAATTCTGTTAAATTTAGTCGCAGCGAAAATTCCTTCCTTTACTACCATCTACACATTAAGGTTGTTCATCCCTGAAAGTTTAAGCAAAATCTGCCATCTGGTTTAAAAGGAGTTGCGTTCACAAGATTTCGGGTCATACGGACAGACGTACAAACGGACGGACGGACGTACCAAAATTTGATGTTTATGAGGCAAATCAGCTCATAAACACCACCTGGACCAACGTCCATAAGCAAAATAAGCTCATAAAAAACAAAAAAATAGCTCTTAATTTGAATTTTATGAGTTTTTGTTCTTTATTTAACTACAGAATGAAATCATAATAATCAAATGTTTGCTCGGACGGACAGATGCAAGGCTATATGCCCCCACAAAGGTGGGGGCATAAAAAGCAAAATCTGAAATAACAAGCATTTAGGTAGAATGCTTAGCACATCTTGCTACATTACATGTTGTCAAACTGGAAGAAGCATTCTTTAAATTTTCATGATCGTTGGACCAGCTTAGAAAATTTTGTTTATAAAACAAAATGGACAATAGATACAAGACAAACATAAAAAATAATTTTAATGAATAACCCAACTACCATATCATTGCACTATTTTATAATGTTAATAGTTCTTGATCAGTCAACTTTCTCCTCTATATAACTATAGGTCTCTGTGGCATACACAAGTTATAATGTGCATTCTTGTCCCAGAAATTACCATCTTTCCATCCACACCAACCCTGAATAAGAAAAAGAAACATAAGACGGCCATTATTGCTGAGAAAATGGAACAAGAGGGCCATGATGGCCCTGAAGTCACTCACTTGTATATAGGCCCCCCAGGGTGGGGCCAATTTAAACCCCAGGGCTTTTTTTTTAACAAGCTTGGTAGACACTCATTAGAAGATGTTTCATGATAAATATCTAAGCTCTAGCTCTTTGAGTTTTTAAAAGAAGATTTTAAGTTTTTACTTCACACATATAGGGAAAAACAATGACCCCCCCCCCCCCCCATCGGCGGGTCTTATTTTTACCCCAGGGTTTTTATTTGAACAAACTTGGTAGACTAGAAGATGTTTCATGCTTAATAACTAAAGTCTAGCTATTTGTTTTTTTTTAAAGAAGATTTTTAAGTTTTTGCTATACACATATAAGGAAAATCAATGATCCCTGCGGGGTGGGACCAATTTTGACCCCAGGGCTCTTATTTGAACAAACTTGGTAGACACCCATTAGAACATGTTTCATGCTAAATATCTTAGCTCTAGCTCTTTGGGTTCTTTAAAAGATGATTTTTAAAAAATTTTACTATATGCATATATGGTAAATCAATTACCCCCTGGGGCGGGGCCAATTTTGACCCCAGGGCTTTTATTTGAACAAACTTGGTAGACACTCACTAGAAGATGTTTCATGCCAAATATCTAAGCTCTAGCTCTTTTGATTTTTTAAAAGAAGGTATTTAAAGTTTTTCCTTTTGGTTGGCATGGCAACCAGAGTTCTGCATGGAATTAAATTCTTTGAACAAATTTTAAAGGTTACCACCAAAGGAACATTCCTGTGAAGTTTGGATGAAATTGGCTTAGTGGTTTATAAGAAGATGTCATTTAAAGTAAAAGTTTACGGACAACAAACGTGGAAAAAAAGCGATCACAAAAGCTCACCCCGTCACTTCGTGACAGTTGAGCTAAAAAAAATAGAAAGATATACAAATTTTGAAGAGGTCCACTACACAATAATACATACCTTTTATCATGGCTGTTTAGTTTCAGTCAAGAATTTGAAAGCTATCTCTATCTAAATCCAAGTAACTGTAAGTCAGGAAATGCTACGTATAACATATATAATATATGGGTCTGAAGTTTCTGACAAAAACATGTTTAGATACTTCATTCTAATATCTATATTTAGATCCTGTGACCCACTTCTCCATCAGATCAGAACCATTTATATAATAACTGTTTAAGAATTTATGTAAAGTCTAATGACATTCAATTAAAATGACTTTTAAGTTAATTGAAATCATCCATTGAAAAATGAAAACTCTAAGTTCAATGGTACTACAATGATTTTCACATCAAAAGTAACTTTATTCCAAACTTTTAACCTACTAACCTCATAATGCATGTAATTTGAAGTTCTTATATCATCAATAAATTTATGATGATTGAATGCTGTGTATCAAATTGTTCTTAAATCATTTTAATGAGAACAAAGTCTGAAGGCCAGACAGACAGCAAAATAATTTCCTCAACTACACAGGAGAACAAAAAACTTTTATAAATTTACCTTGTCAATGATTGTCTTTAAATCCTCTGCTCCTGTATAATGAGGATCTAGAATAAGGAAGTTAATATCTCCTGTCACTTCATTATAATCTATTCCTAGGATAGTGTGTGCAAGTACTCCACCTCCTGTAATAGTCATTGTTAAATAATACATTAACCTTTACTTCGGAACTTGTTCACTTTGAATTTAAAACATTATCACATCTAACTGTCGGTTTCCACTACAATGGTTATTGTCTGTCATGATCATGGCTATATTAGGAAAAGCTGGTCATTAGCTTCAATAGGTTGGACCTGTTATAATCACAACAATACTGGGTACATGGTTTTTAGACTGCAAGTATGAGATAATTTAATGCTGGCTACGAGTTGCCACTTTGTTCGTTAGGAACAGCTGTCATAACTACTATACAGACTAATGAAAGTCATTTCCAGTCATTACTTTACTGACTATACCACTATACTGAATAAGGCCTGACATTATCACCACTATACTGGTTAAAGTATGTCATTATTACTACTATACTGGTTAAAGTATGTCATTATTACTACTATACTGGTTAAAGTATGTCATTATCACCACTATACTGGTTATAGTATGTCATTATCACCACTATACTGGTTAAAGTATGTCATTATCACCACCATACTGGATAAAGTATGTCATTATCACCACTATACTGCTTTAAGTATGCCATTATCACCACTATACTGGTTAAAGTATGTCATAATCACCAATATAGTGGCTAGGGCCTGTCATTATCACTAATATACTGGCTGAAGCATAATTATCACTAATATACTGGCTGAGGCATAATTATCACAAATATACAGTCTGAGACATAATTATCACTAATATACTGGCTGAGACATAATTATCACTAATATACTGTCTGATAAATAATAATCACTAATATACTGGCTGAGACATAATTATCACTAATATACTGGCTGAGACATAATTATCACTAATATACTGTCTGATAAATAATAATCACTAATATACTGGCTGTGGCATAATTATCACTAATATACTGTCTGAGGCATAATTATCACTATAATAATAATATAATAATAATAAATACCACATTTATATAGCGCCCTTTTCATTAAAATGTTCAAAGGCGCTTTACATCAATCATATATGTCTAAAACAATATAAATGAACAGGATTATGAACATTAAAAATATTTTGCATTAACTAATTAAAAGTATAAATTATGGAATTATTTTTTTACATATTAATACAATAAAACTTAAAGATCCTTAAAACTCACTTTACAATATTATTGTCATAAAAATGCTAGCAATGGATTTATAATAATAGATAAGATCTTGCTAAATCATCGTTATAAAACAATAGAAATACTAAATTGATTTAAAAAATTGTTTGTTTTAAAAAAAAAACTTTTTAATAAAACTAATATTCAAATAACAGATACTTCGTATTCACTGTTTATAAAATTCATTCATAACAGTCACTGATTATTTTCCATAAGCTAAATTGAAGTAGTGTGTTTTAAGATGTTTTTTGAAACTTTCTACTGTGTTACAGTTTTTTAGATGACTTGGTAGTGAATTCCATAGCTTAGGAGCTGATGCCGAAAAACTCCTTTCACCAAATTTCAGTTTAGTTTTTGGTTGCACTAATCGTACAGGTGCATTTGAAGAGCGCAGAAGTGGAATAAACTTGAATCATTTCCTGCATATATGATGGAGATTGTTGTTTCAGTGACTTGAAAGTATGTAATAAGATCTTGTAATTCACTCTATATTCGATTGGCAGCCAATGAAGATCTTTCATCACTGGTGTAATATGATCTTTCCTAGATGTACGTTTAATCACACGGGCTGAAGTATTTTGAACAAGTTGAAGTTTTTTCATGGTTTGTTGAGGTATACCATATAGAAGAGCATTGCAATAATCCAGTCTTGATGTCACGAGAGAGTTAACGAGTGTTTTTGTAGCTTCTTCGTTGATATATTTTCGAATACGTCCTATCTTACTTATTTGGGCATACGAAGATCTGCACATGGAGCTAACATGATGTTCCATATTAACCTTTGAATCAAGGAATGCACCCAAATTCCTTACACTTGATGACTGTTTGATTTCAGCTTGGTCCACATTGACAGTTATATTTTTCACTGAGTCTGTATTGCTACCCGACGAAAAGACTATAAGTTCTGTTTTGTCTGAATTCAGTTTGAGAATGTTGCTGTTCATCCAGAATGTTATTTCTTTTAAGCAGTTTGAGACAGAATCAAGTACAAGTTCAGTTTTGGTGTTGTCCAACGGTTTGAAAGAAATGTATATTTGAGAATCGTCAGCATAGAAGTGACATTGCAGACCATGTTTTCGACAAATTTCGCCGACAGGTTTTGTGAAAAGTATGTAAAATTTTGGTCCTAATACAGAGCCCTGAGGGACACTGTATGTCATATGCACAGGGTCAGATAGTTCTCCATCAATACAAACAGTCTGATAGCGACCACTGAGATAAGATCTACACCAAGCGAGCACTTTTCCAGTAAAACCAAAGTCACATTCGAGTCGATTAAGAAGAGTGTTGTGGTCAATCGTGTCAAAGGCAGCAGATAAATCGAGCATTACTAATATTGTAACTTCGCCTTTGTCAAGAGATTGGAGAATGTCATTTTGCACTTTGATAAGTGCAGTTTCTGTGGAATGAAATTTCCTGTATGCAGATTGATTTGGTTCATGTAGATTGTTAGTGTTGAGAAACATATCAAACTGACAGTCAGCCGCAGATTCTAGAAGTTTTGAGTCATATGTTTCATTAGCAACTGGTCTAAAGTTTTTCATAATTTCTTGATCCAAATTGTCTTTCTTTAATAGTGAGACATAATTATCACTAATTAACAGTTGTGGCGGCGTGGCCGAGTGGTTAACGCGTCGGACTAGTAATCTAAGGATTGCTGACCACGTGGGTTCAAACCCTGTCAGGGGCAAGCCGCTGTTTCCTTGAGCAAGAAACTTTACATTCATTGCTTAGTACTGGTTGGTTCCAGGAACGGATTCGAGAGTGTTTCAATAAGCTTATAGCTTCCAACACAATCGAACTAAAATAAATTTGTATAAACCAATTAACAGTCTGAGACATAATTATCACTAATATACTGTCCGAGACATAATTATCACTAATAAACTGTCTGAGGAAGGTATTTATCACTATATAATACAGAATATCATACCTATCATTATAGGTGTGCCCTGTGTCAGGAAATGTTGAGCTAATTCTCTCCCTTTACCAGCCAGATCACCACCAGAACTTACATTTAAAATCTTTGATTGTACCTATCAGAAAATGTTAAAGTAACTGGACCTTTAAAGAACAGCAGTTGATTTAATATTTAAGCCACATATTAATATTATCAATCATTAAAACAAAACACCCCTAAAATTATTTTTTTTTAATTTCATTGTAAGCTGTCACAGAGATTCTGATGGTAAATTAAACATTTAATAAAAGTTCCACTGAGGCAATACTCGATAGAACAATTACAGAGGCGAAATTGTACCAAAAGAAATATATAAAATTTATTGTTGTTAATAGCTCAGATTATGACTGCAGTATTCCATCAAATGTAAAAGAAAAATATGCAGTCTAATTTTTTCTAGATAACAAAATAATATAAGTAATGGACGTTAATGACTTGATTTTTTTTTTTTTAATCAATTAAATCCACAATGCAATTAGCCGGAACTTTTGTTTTGATATTACAAACTTGCATGCCTAACATTCAGTGAAATCCTTTTAAAGTTATTCTGTGGAAACCAATTACAGACTGTTGGAAAAGGGGCATAACTCTTCAAATGAGATGATTGAAATAAAAATTGAATATAACAAATATATACAGAATCATTGAAATCCTTTAAAAGTTATTCTGCTGAATCCAATAATTTCACATACCAGATTGCTTAAAAAGGGGCATAACTCTATTAATACTAATGACATGTGTTTACATATAACACACATGTCAAACTATGCGACCAATAAAGAATGATTTCTTTTGTTATTTTCTAACTCAATTGGTAGATTAAATGTTAAATGTAACTAATTTCACATAGATTAATAAATAATAAGTGAAATATTTAAAAAGAACATGATATTCCATTTACTTTATTATTCAACACAATGCAATACAACAAAATGTTTATATGTATAACTAACCTCTAAAAGTGTATCTAGAACAAAGCTGACTTCCATAGATCCAATCCACTGCCTTGAGCCAACAAAGTTTGGCTCTTTATCACCAATGTCAACTAAAGTCTGAAAAAATCGTGCTTATTATGTAGATTATACATATATCTGTACAAATAGAAAACTGGAAGAATCATTTGATATCTAACTTAGAAGCAAACAGTGTTAGACATTTTGCTACAAAATAACAGAATAAAGCTAGAAGGGCTTTTCCTCACAAAAACATATGTCTCCCAAAACAAGGTATATCAAGCAATAATTGAGATATTTGAATTTACAAAAAACTTTAACCAATGCAGACGCCGACGCTGACGCCGACACAGACGCCGGGGCGACTACAATAGCTCTCATATTCTTCGAATAGTCGAGCTAAAAAGTCGAGCTTAAAATAGCATGTACTATGACAAAGACAAAGTTTTAGATAGAAAAGTTCTGCACTAATTTGAAATAAAAAAATAAATATATGATAATCCTACCTGTTGTATTTCTCTATGAGTAGGTATATTTTTTTCTGTATAGCCTTGAAGTTTAAACCAGGATACAAGTGTCTGTAATGATCTGTAGGCACACCCCCATTTATTATCATCAAATCTATCTTGCATATAATGATGATAGGTGTAGTTACCATTGACTGTATATTGTTTACCTTCACTCACTGTAATGTAGTGATACTATATTTATATACATTTCAGGACAATCAACAAGTTAACTACTAGAACTATCGCTAAATGCGATTCATACCCCCACCAATGTCCTTGACAGAAGATGACTTGGAAAGGTGGTTAAGAGAATAACTTTAGTGGCACAAATACATATCATTATCTATTAAAGGAAATTATCTCTGGTGAAAAAAAGACTAATTGTACGATATTAGTATAAATCATGTTCGAAACAGTTACAAATAACCTTTCATTTTCCCAATGTACTAGACATTTTCTAAGTCAATTTTTGACCTTCAAGTGTGGCCTTGACCTAAAGCTGGCACAAGGGTAAGATGGGTTCTGCACATTGCCAAGTTGGGTGAACATTTGAGTAAAGTTTGAAGAAAATCTTTCCATTAGTAAAGAATTTATAGAGCGGACATAACATATTGTCTAGTATTGATTGAATGTAAATTTAAAGACTTAAAAAGGGGCATAACTTTGTCAAAATGCAATACAGAGTTATGAAACTTGACCTGCATATCTTATTTGTGACACCTCATATATCTTCTAAGTTTCAAGCAAATACCTGTGCTAGTTTAATAAATATTCAAGTACATGTTAAAATTTAAGAACATTTTCTAAGTCAATTTTTGACCTTCAAGTGTGACCTAGACCTTTAGCCAGCACAAAGGTAACATGAATTCTACTTTGTTGAGGTGAACATTTGAGTAAAGTTTGAAGAAAATTTTTCCATTAGTATAGGATTTATGGAGCGGACACGACATATTGTCTAATATTTGATTAATGTAAATTTGAAGACTTAAAAAGGGGCATAACTTTGTTAAAATGCAATACAGAGTTATGAAACCTGACCTGCATAATAAATTATCTTAATTGTGACACTTCATATATATTTTAAGTTTCAAGCAAATACCTTTTCTTGTTTCAGAAATATTCAAATACATGTTAAAATTTAAGAACATTTTCCAAGTTAATTTTTGACCTTCAAGTGTGACCTTGACCTAAAGCCGGCAAAAGGGTAACATGGGTTCTGCACATAACCTTGTAGAGGTGAACATTTGAGCCAAGTTTGAAGAAAATCTTTCAATTAGTGTAGGAGTTACAGAGCGGACACGACATACTGTCTAATATTTCATTGTTTGATATTTGACCTTCAAGTGTGACCTTGACCTTGAGCTGACACATGGGCAACATGGGTTCTGCACATCCCCTTGTTGAGGTGAACATTTGAGCCAAGTTTGAAGAAAATCTTTCAATAAGTGTAGGAGTTACAGAGCGGACACGACATACTGTCTAATATTTGATTGTTTGATATTTGACCTTCAATTGTGACCTTGACCTTGAGCTGACACATGGGCAACATGGGTTCTGCACATCCCCTTGTTGAGGTGAACATTTGAGCCAAGTTTGAAGAAAATCCTTCAATTGGTATAGGATTTATAGAGCGGACACGAAAATGGAGACGGACCGACCGACGGACGGACGCGACAAAGCGAATCCATTATAGCCCCCCCCCCCCCACATTTTGTGTTGGGGGTATAATAATTAATAAGTTGATTAAGACTATGCTATCTAAGTGATCCAAAGGTAGATTGGGTGGGAGCATTTTTTACCCCAGGGGCCTAATTTATTCAACTTTTAAAGTAAAACTTTAACCCTTACAAGAAATTTTCACAAAAAAGTATATAATTCAGTAGGAAATATTTGTGAAGTTTCACATGAATACTAGTAGTCACAGTTTCAAATGAATAACCTTAGTGGTTAATAAAATTTAATTAAAACCTTAATTGATTTGAAGCCAGTGCTAGAGGGCATAAGATATGTTGCACTTTCTCTCATGAACAGTCTAAATGAAAACTTAGTACTACCATTTTGTACTATTTGTTTTTATTTTAACTACTCTCAAGAAATCTTCTCTTTCCTGAATTGTGTAGGATAGTCTCCCTATTATTTCAATTATACTATAGTCCAGCTAACATTTCTTGAGCTTACCATCATACCATGTTTATATAACTAAGAAGATCTATTATTTTTCAATATAACTGCGTATTTTATTACAAAAATTCACAATCCTTCAAGATCCGTCATTGTATGGCTATAAATTCTTTATTTACTGACCTTTAGATTTCAGACAATTCAGATGAACATTTCTCAAATAACTACCATCTTGTCTTTCATCAGAAAATCTGTATTTATTTGCTCTTCTAAACAGTGGCCTGTCTATTGGTAAACACAGACACTGATGGATAGATCTTCGGTGGTTCTCTAGAAAATTCATACATTTATTTAATCAAGGGGCAGGACATGAAGCTGATGTACACTTGGTCCAAACAAGCAATATGGTTGTAAACTTGACAAAATGAATATTATCTCATAAAAAGTATCTCAAGCTCAAATTTTTTCTAGTTTGTTGGTTTATATATGTTATTTTGACACAAACTGTTTTAGGACAGAGTTATTGAAGATATAAACTTATCATGTGAAAGTGAATGTTCTGGTCGAGTAAGTTTTAAAGTTCTAAATACAAGATGTAATACATGTATGTTTCTGTCATTAATATCTTGTTCAAAAGAAAGCTTAACCATTTTGGGTTGCAAACGTTTCTTTTTCACTCAAATATATAACTTTACAACTTGTATTAAATTGTGTCCATAGGACACTGATGTCTCTACATTAGGTACACTGATTGGCTGTAATTTTGAATAAAATCAAACGGTCAAAATGGGTGTAATTTAAAAAAATCATGACAGAGTAATGTCCTCTTGCCTGGAAGTGAGGAAGATGGTCAATAAAACAAGTATCTAAAGTTTCAAAGTAATATCTAAAAGGGTATAAGAAATAAGTGGGGTGGTATGAAAATCATATTCACATGTATCATCAAGTATTATCAACCTAGCTTTTGTACCACTTTTTGAGTTACGACAGGAACCAGATTTCTTTGGATAGACAGAATGACAGACATTCCAAGTTTAAAGAAATTCTATTGAACAGTTTTAATTTTGCCTATATGCCTATATGAAAACTCCCGAAAATGTCTTTAATGAAAATGATAATACAATGCAATCAGGCCACTGATAATTTAATTTAAGTATTTGTTTTCACCATCAACAAAATAAACAAACATGGTTGGCCATCAGTGATAACACTGACTACTATTCAAACTAATCCTTATACAATTACCATGATCATATTTGGGCCTTTAGTGATCTGTGCAAAATTAATAATACTGTCGCTAAAACATATCATCAGAAAAACACACTGTCACTAACTTTACAGAAGTCATGTTCAACCCGTTCAACCCATTCCTGCTAATTTAGTTTATGTGATAAGAAGAACCTAACATTTGTGTCTTTCCATGATAAATTTATTAAATTCATTTAATAAAAGTGATAAATTACATAAAAGTTACTTGACACAGTCAAGTGATCACTTCAATTCAACTTTTAATAAATTCATATAAAAAATCTTGTATTTAATAAATTGTCTATATTGACATTATTCAATAATCATTTCAGTTTTCCCACGTTCTTGATATACTTCATTAGTTAATTTTGAATCTATTCTATATAGACTGGAATCATTATATAACATTTCATTCTTTCATACATTTTTTACTGTTCACATATCAACAATAAAAGTAAGAAATTAGATATTGCGTGTAAAATGTCAAAGAATTTGGCAAAATCCAATTAAATAGTTACATTAGAATTAAACTTAGCAAAAATATACCTAATTGTTCATCCAAGATATTCCATGGGTATATCACATTAAATAAAGTTGGAAGATCAAATGGCTGGAAATGGTAAACTTCTGGCAGTATAAACTTATTTCCCTGTGTAATAAAAAAGAAAAAAAAATAGATAAGTCAACAACTGTATTTCTGTAAATCTGGTACTCTTCACAATTTTTCTATTTTAGCTACTATCTATGAACCGGTTAAGTCAAAAATTTTGATCATGAATACAATAAATAATTGTAAAATAAATAATGTGTACAATGTTTTATATCATTACTTATACAGATTTTTGACAGGATATATGGTCCTACATAAAAGGCTGTTTGGAAATAGTGGCTCTGGTTATATTGCAAACAACAAATTTATGATATATATAGGATTATATAACCTGTCAGGAATATTTATAACGAATTTATAATACCGCAATCTTACTTTTTTGAGAAAAAACTATATATATGTTATGATTACCCAATGAAAATAATGTTTCAAACTTGCAGTATAATAAATATATATAATAATTAGAAATGTGTCCATAGGACACAGGTGCCCCCACACTCCACTGTTTTGTCAATCTTATGACTCTAGGTCAAATATTTTTTGGGCTACATGTGCCACAAGTTGAAAACTAAAAATCTAAAAAGCAAGAACTTTACAAATACTGAATGAATCTAAAAGGGCAGGAACTTTACAAATACTGAATAAATCCACACAAGCAAACCCAAAGGTGCACAAGTACATACAGTATGCTGACCAACATTCTTGTAAACTTTCAGGCCTACAGGTCAAATACCTTTGAGCTATGCATGAACAAGTTGAAAATTGCAGATTATACTAAGTCAAGGGCAATAACTCTGACAAAACTGAAAAAATCCACATGCAAAATCCCAGGTGCATAGCTTCACGGTGATGTTGATCATTATTCCTGTAAAGTTGGTTGATTCTAACTCAAGCACTCAAAGAACAAATAACACAACATAATGAAACGGTTTTTACTAAGTCAAGGGCAATGGCCAAACCCAAGGTGCACAACTACAAATGCTGACCAACATTCCTGTTAAGTTTCATGACTTAAAATTCAATAAATTTTGAGCTATGCATGACACAAATTGAAAATTGAATATTTTCACTAAGTCAGGGGCAATAACTCTAACAAAGCAGAATAAATCCACAAGTGAAACTCCAGGTGCACAACTTCACATGCTGACAAACATTCCTGTAAGGTTTCATGACTCTTAGGTCAAATATTTTTTGAGTTATGTGTGACACAAGTTAAAAATTGCAAATTTTTACTAAGTCAAGGGCAATAACTCTAAAAATACTAAATAAATCCACTTGAAAATACCCTGGTGCACAACTTCACATGCTTAACAACATTCCTGTAAGGTTTCATGACTCTAGGTCAAATACTTTTTGAGTTACATGTGACACAAAAGAGAACGGATGGACGGACAAGGGTAAATCTAAATGCACCCCCCACCTACAGTGGGGGCACAATAAAAATATGAAGGTTTAGTTTAAACATATTTTTATTTGTTAATAATTTACAATTTAAGCAGAAAGGAATTGGATCGAGAGCTACAATAGCTCATGGTAGTCCTCTCCTTTATATGAAATATGAAGGTTTACGAACAGTTATTTTTAACCTGGTAATTCCTTTTTGCTCATAATATATACAACACAAAAAGCTAACATTACTTTACAGATAAATGTGAATAGATATTGTATAGATAACAATAGATTAATGATAACAATAGTGATAAACAGAATTCTTTTGCACTGTTGTATAAGTATTATCAACAAGTATATAATGCATATTTTACAAACAATTAACTTTTTGTCAAACACTTTGTATATGTTAGTGTTTATAAAATGAAATTCTAACTAACCCCAAAAGAAGCCACTGGTAGGGAGCAACCATGGCTTCTTAATTGTTAAAATGTTCACTTCATAAAAACTAACTTACTTAGTGTTTAACCTCATACGACCCTACTGGAACACCTCCAGCCTATAGAAAGTTGTTTAGGGTGGAGTTCAGGGAGCTGTTATGTCATTCAATATATAAATAGCAAAGGTAAGACACATTTATTTACATAGTGTACCACAGAATCTCTTCAATGTGGCAATCTTCTAAAAAATGTTGGATGTGAATGATTTTTCTGATATCAACTTAAGCCCTTTTTTCTATGATTTTCTTTCTGAGGGTTTGAGGACACTTTCTATGAAATTTACTGAAATAACCCCTAAACTCTTCAACTTAATAAAAGAGTGACAACATTTAGCTGTTTAAATGATTAAGAAGGATAATTTATTTTTGGAAATTGGAGTATTTTCATTGGTCAGCATAATTATGATGTTGAACTCTTAACCCATTACCCGATATACACACCTTTTAATGCCTTTTTCACCACCCCCCTCCTCTTTGTTGTCTAAAATGGTGAAAAGATGCCTTATTTAGGCCCCCCCCCCATATGTTTTTGTTTGAGAAAATTGTTTAAACCCCTAGATCGCTCACCTGACCCATCGAACTCATCCGAACAATTACCTAGACAAGCATTCTAACCAAGTTTCATGACAGGTGAGTCAAAAATGTGACCACTAGAGTGTTAACAAGGATTATCCATATTTGAGCAGTGTGACCTAGTTTTTTACCAAGGTGACCCATATTCGAACTTGACCTAGAAATCATGAAAACAAACTTTCAGACCAATTTCCAGGATACTTGGATCAAAACAGTAGCCACTAGAGTGTTAACAAGATTTTTCTATTTTTAGCTCCAGTGACCTAGTTTTTATGATTTGTGCCAATTTGATTAGTATTGAAGGAGTTTTTATAGTTTTATAGCAATTTGAACTTGTAATGGTAGACTTTTCACTGAAAACAGCCATTTTCTCAAAATGCTCATGAAGTAATGGGTTAATTAATACTATAACCAAATATGACAAAGGATTAAAAAAAAATCATAATAAAACAATTATGTTGGTATATGAAATCAATAACTGTCATTAATTAAGGTATGTTAATTGTTTAATGTGAATAAGTTTGACACAGTATGAAAATTAATGCAATATTAAATTAAGACTTTGTTCACTGTTATATTGCAAAAATAAGGTTAAAGAATTATTCAAATATTAATTTCTAGCCCTGCCTTTGTGAATTAATGATTCCATAAAATAATTTACAAAACAAAGATTACATTAATATAAAGTGATTACAGTATTCTTTACCAGTAAATGTCACTTATATAACAGATATTATAGTATAGAAGATAAAGTCTCCTAACAACAAATTTATTACGTGAGAATGACAATTACTACTTTGTCCTAACAATAATATCAGCTTTTTGTAAATTTATCCTTTAATGAGTTTCATAATTTTGTTGTTCATATATGTAGACTATACCTAATGATTGTTTATCAGCCTGTTAAGACACAAAATGAGGCTCTTCCTGTCAAGTACTGACCCCAGACATGTAACAGTCTTGTCTTTTAAGAGTTAATTTTGAAGCACAAAGTGGTCATAATTTAAATCTGTTCAATTTCCACAGAGTATTAGCTTAAGAATTGAATTTTGAGCCGAAAGTTGGTCACAGTCGCCAATGAGCAACTAAACATACAAACAGTATAAGTTGATGATCATCTAACAAGTTATTCAAGTAGCAATTCAAATATAGAACGCTTAGTCTTTATGGCACATGCATGTATCTTATCATAATTAAGTTTGCTGATTGCTGAATTCAAATTGCTGCATGTGAACAACCAGTTGCTGTGTGCAAATTTCCAGTTGCTAAGTGCAAACTGTCAGTTGTGGAGTGCATATGACCAGTTGCTGAGTGCTAATTGTCAGTTTCTGAGTGCATATGACCAGTTGCTGAGTGCTAATTGTCAATTACTAGTCGCTGAGTGCAATTTGTCAGTTGCTAATTGTCAATTACTAGTTGCTGAGTGCAATTTGTCAGTTTCTGAGTGCATATTACTAGTCGCTGAGTGCAATTTGTCAGTTGCTGAGTGTATATGACTAGTTGCCGAGTACAAATTACTAGTGGCAGAATATAAATTTTTAGTCACTGAATACAAATAACTAGTTGCAAATTGTCAATTGCCTGTAGTGCATATGACAACATGTAGATGCTGAGTGCAAAATGCTAGTTGATGAGAGCATATTTTCAGTTGTTATGTGCAAATTGCTAATTGCTGAGCACAAAAAGTACCAGTTGCTAAATGACAAGTTGCTGAGAGACCAAAGTTACTGATTTCCAATGCCAAAAGGCTAGATTTAATACTTTTTTTATACCATGTACTTATTATTTGTATTAAAATTTTTCATTTTTAACAAGGCAGTCTGAAGGACAGCTATATCCCTTGTCTCAGCCAAAAATTGAAACGGATAACAAGTGCGAGGAGAGCTTAGACCTCAAAATATTTGTGCTAAGTTATTTTAAAAACTTTTCATTACTTTAAAAAGTTATGAAGCAAATACGGAATGTGAACTTTTTTACATTTGACCTTAAAGAGTGATCTTGACCTTTGAGGTAGCAACATTGTAGCACTCAGCACATCATTTCATCGTTATCACTTGTGCAAAGTTATCTTAAAAACTTTTCAATAGTTTAACAGTTATGGCACAGACATGAAAAGTGAACTTTTTACATTTGACCTTTAAGTGTGATCTAGACCTTGAGGGGTAGCGACCTGGTTCTTGCCTTCTGCACACAGACTCATAATGGTGATCATTTGTACAAGGTTGTTTTAGTTTAGTTTAAAAGTTTTGGAGCAGACACAAAACTGTAATGGATGGACAGAAAGACAGACTGCAGAGAAGTAAAAATCTAATTTACATTACTTTCTCACTGTCTTAAACTTTCAAAAACCAAAAGTCAAAAGTCACTCCTGTCATTTCTTTATATGCTTCAATGTCACTTGATAATTGTGACTAGACAACTTTTATAAAATGCTTATAGATTGTGATTATCTTATTAAATGTATTTTTCTACGAATATTAATTTTGTTTTAAGAATATCATCATTTTACATATAAAGTTCAAACAACAAAGTGACATCAATTATAAATGTAACAGTCAATCTGATTTCTGAAATTTAACTGGCTATAAGCTATATAATTATATATAGTGTAAATATATGACAGAATTATCTGTATCTAACAAATACTGACCTTGGTGTTATCAAAGATACACTGTTTCATGGCCATCAGTTGATTTTTTATAGCTTCACTCATAATAACTACCATGTCTGATACCAGGATCTCCCTTTCAAATAACGATACAACATCTAAATGTAACACTAACTTTACTGTCTTTACAGCCTCTGAAAAATAAATGTAAAAATCTGTAATAATAAAGTCAATATCTCAACTCAACATACATGACTGTACATTAATTAAGTATGTTTATACATGTATCTGGTACAGGTATGGGGTCACAAGGCCCTACACAAATAATCTTCATCTAAATTTAAGACAATCACAATATCCATATCTAACTTGCAATTCCAAGTAGATCTATATAATGTAATTCAAAAAATAAGTTGTGAGGGATAGTTGTTTCTTTAAGAATAACAAGAAGGGAAATAGCTCCCAAATCAGCCTCAGCTTATGTTCGAACTCATCTGAGCTATCAACTAGATAAGCATCCTGACCAAGTTTGATGATGATTGAGGCAAAAATGTGACCGCTAGAGTGTTAACAAGGTTTTTCTATTTTTAGCTCCTGTGACCTAGTTTTTCATCCGAGATGACCCATGTTCGAACTCATCCGAGCTATCAACTAGATTAGCATCCTGACAAAGTTTGATGATGATTGAGGCAACTAGAAATGTGTCCATAGGACACGGATGCCCCCACACACAACTGTTCTGTCAATCTTATGACTCTAGGTCAAATATTTTTTGGACTACATGTGCCACAAGTTGAAAACTAAAAATCAACAAAGGGCCACAATTCTGTTAAATTTAGTCGCAGCAAAAATTCCTTCCTTTGCTACAATCTGCACATTAAGGTTGTTCATCCCTGGAAGTTAAAGCAAAATCTGCCATCCGGTTTAAGATGAGTTGCGTTCACAAGATTTCGGGATGTACGGACAATCGTACGTACGGACGGACAAGTGCAACACTATATGCTCCCACTTTGTGAGGGCATAAAAATGTGACCGCTAGAGTGTTAAAGAACAAGTGTGGACGGACGACGGACATTCAAGGATCCTAAAAGCTCACCCTGAGCAAGCTCAGGTGAGCTAATAATAGTATAATAGTGTTCATGTAATAGTAACAGGCCTAGAAATGTTCTAGATACAATAATTCCTCTTATTCCTAAAGGTTGGAGACAAGCTTTCGTACAATCATTGTGACCACATGAAAGTTGAGTGACTGTGGTAAACACATATTTCCAGTACTACAATAATGCATTACTTCTCTCTATACTTGTAAGACAAGACAACAGAATACGATATTGAGAAACAATTTCAGTTCACATCAAACAATATAATATAACTACTATAATATTTTTACCCGACAATCATCTCTTTTACAAGCTTTATCAATCAATTATGAGCTTATTATTTCATGACAGCTTGTAATTAGATTCCTTAATTTAGTACAGTGGAACCTGTCTAATCCGAACTTGTCCCGACCTGAAGAAAAGTTTGGATTAGAAAGGTTTCCGGATTAGAAAGGTTTCCGAATTAGAGGTTTTTTAACATGTTTTTTCATGTTATTTGCAAAATAGTTTAAGGAAAGAAAACGGGAATGCATTTGAAATTGCAATTTAGATATTTTATTTTTGCAGTCTCTTATCGTTCATTTAATACATGTGAATACAAAAATAAAGAAATAAAAATAAATAAATAAGCAAACATATTATGTCCTCAAGGGTAAGTTAACCTACGATGTTAAACAGGATGCCGAGACATGATTTAATATTCGTACCAGCATTCGTCAATTGTTGTTTACTCATATCCGTTTCAGCCACTATCCGAATTCACTGACAGTTTCCATTAATTTTCATTACTAATTCACGTATCATTGAATCCATTACAAAGGATTGAAATATATTTCTATTGCATTTTATCAAAATATTTATTGAAGGTGACGAAAAACAATCAATAAAGCAATTATAGAAGATATGAAGGCAAGCTAAGTGTAATTTCCACACCTTCACAGATCATACATTTCACCCATTAATCAAGCGAAATAACACTTATCAGTTTGGTGTATATTTACACCTTCAAGATGAGCGATTATTTGTTATTTTGAATGAAGTTGTGACATTTGGCAAAATCTGTTCGGATCCGAGAGGTAAATTTTAGAGCAAAATAAGAACAAAAATTGAAATAATCGACCAGACACTTCGTTCGGATAAGAAAGGATTCCGGATTAGAAGGGTTCGGATTAGCAAGGCTCCACTGTACAAGTAAGATGTAATTTTGATTAATCACAAATTTCCAACTTAAATGAATTTTAATTCATCTCACAAGTAAGTTTGGCCAACAAGTCACTTTTAAACTTCTTATGCTTGACAAAAAAAAATTACATCTATTCAAACTGTAAGAGACATGTTTTGTATGTTTTTTATTCAATCAATTACCTGAAAACTGTATTTTAATGCACATATTCAACTCATACTTGATTTTGGATGTGTACTTTTGTGTTATAGCAGCCCAAAATATATAGGCAAGATAAATATATAATACACAAAAACATGCTGCAAGAATGAAACTGTGTAAAAAGTATGACCGTTCATCCTTTCCACTATTTAGAGAATGAAATGGATTTTATTCAGAACTCAAAGAAACTAATCTCATATTTTTGTATACAAGATGCTAAATGATCTATCATCAGAACAACTTAAGTCCTATGGTCTTCACAACACAATGATACAGTGCAACACTATGTTAGATCTTAATTTTCCAAAAGCACATTTAACTGTTAGGCAGTTCAAGTGTGGAATGATATTCCTCCTGATATCGAATTTCATAATTCTAAAAAAATGGCCCTTTTTCAAAACAAATTCAAACATACTTACATAGTAGGAAGTGTGACTAACCTGTATTATAGTTTATCACTGGAGAACATGTTGGTATTGTATCAGTGTAACCTGCACTGTTCAGATTTGTGTACATGTCAAACATCAATATCTCCTGCTTAAAACACATAAAATGAAAATAGTTTAAACTGGTGAAGCAACTCACAAGATTTGCAAATGTTTTGGAGAAAGCAGTGGTCTTAATACTAAAGTGTTACATCTTAACTAACAAAGCATGGGTTTGAGTTATATTTGAGTCAAAACAAACTTTGTATCTGTTTTGAACATGTTTTTACCACAGTGGTAAGTCATGGGAGCTGATTGAAAATGCATGATAATTTAACATCTATTACTATTAAGTACTTATATTTAACTTTTTCTATACCAAACAACCTTATCATTTATGTAAAAACAAACTTATAGTATTCCATGCAATCAATATTAAAACAAGAGGTATACCAAATATTAAGAGGCAGGGATAAGTAGTTGCTAAGAAAAATGTTATGAAAATTTCCTTCCATTGACCATTAATGTTGAAAAGTTAACAGGGTTAACATAAGTGACAGACCTGAAATTGAATCCCTTGTTATGGGACCATGTGTTTATGCTGCATACCAAATATCAAGAGACTGTGAAAAATAGTTGCTGAGAAAAATGTTACAAAAATTTCCTAACATTTCCACCAATGTCGAAAATTTAACTAAGTTAGTTAACATGAAGTGGATGAGTGACAAACTTGAAATTGAATCTCCATTATAGGACCACGTGTTAATGCTGTATACCAAATATCAAGAGACTGTGATAAGTAGTTACTGAGAAAAATGTTATGAAAATTTTTCCCCGCCTGCTGCCAGACATTCATCATATAACCCCGGTTTGCACCTGTGCAACCCTGCCAAAAATGACCCATGTACCCACACACAAGTTCTTGCAACTTATATTAATCACTTTTGAGTCCGCTTCCTGGAACCAACCAGTACTGGTGTCATATGAAGAAACATGGTCATGACCCGAGTGGGGCTCGAACCCTCGATCTCTGGGTTGAGAGGCAGACACCTTAACCACTAGGCCACCGCTCCCCTTTACCAATTTGTTTGTAATGTTTGTTTGCTTCATTGCTTTTACAGTGCACCAACACAATTTAGGTCATATGGTGCTGAAACAGGAAAGATGATTTTGGCTAACCTCAGTTGTTACAAATTTAAAACACCAGGGGTCAAAATCACCTCACCTGTTGGACCTAAGAGATGCATAGACTCCAGTTATTCAAACCCATTTAGTCACCTTTTACGATCATGCAGGGATAAACGGTATTAACAATTCAAGAAACAAGTTACATGTTCAATGCAATTAATGACTAATTTTGCAGTATTTATCACTTTATTTCTACTGCGTCACTTTTTCTGCATATTATGACCTATTTTTGATAATTTTCTTAGATTTGTAAGTGCTGTTAACGACATGTAATTACTTTCTTTGTTCATTTGACACATTTATGTATTGATGTCTTTTAAAGCATTAAAAAAAAAATTCATGAAAATTAAAATTAATCTGGAGGCATGCTGCTTTAAAGCAAAATTCTAGCAATTTTCAAAAATTTAACCTTCAAAGTCATTTATGAGTTTATTCTTTTTGAAGTCTTGTTCTAAAACTGTTGGTGTCAAGTATGAAGCCATCAAAATACTAGTATGTAGACAGTATGATACAAGAATATATCTTAGGTAAGCAGCTAGTAAAACTATATTTGGTTGGCTTCCATGCAAGCCCAATATGAGTTGTCAACCTGTGTACTTGTCCAAAAAATTTCTGTAATATATTAAGTACATTGTTAATTAATAAGTTTATTCAGTATGTAAATTTTACCAATCTAGTTTACTGTATTATCATACCTTGTGCTTACTCTTACTTCTTGTAACTCTTTGTTGATCCTCATCTTCAATTAGACCAGCCAGATGTGTATATGTAGCATTATCTGGTAATTGTTGACAATTAGACAGGTTAATCAGTGCTTGTGATGACTGGAGATGATATACTGTACAATCTGACATGATACTATCAACAACTCTATCTATCTCTGATGTTACACCATTTTTCCATGTATCTAATCAATAAAGAAAATAATAACATTAATTAAAACAAATGTTCCATATATATTGTTTATCATAAATCTAGATTGAAGAAACTAGCTTACTGCTTATAAAACTGCCTTTTAGTAACTATGCCCAGGGTATAACCTTATACAAATTCTTCAAACTGTTTAATTAGATAAATGAAAATTATGTAAAATGAATATCCCTAAAGAATTGCCCACATATGGCAGAATATTGGCAACATATGGCAAAATAACATTAAAACAAGCCAAAGCATACATACCTGTTAGCTTATAAAAACATTTAAAATATCTATAACAGCATGAAGCTTGGTAATGGTTTGATAAACAAGAGCTGTCCGTAAGACAGCGCGCTCGACTTTTTTATTGCTTGCCAATAAAAAAAGTTTTTGCAGTAAAAGGCAATACAAGAATCTCTGTATTTTTAAAGTGAACAATGGCCATGAGCATTAAGATATTTAGTGAAGAATTATTTTACTGAATTGTGTGATACCCTTATAGCAATGTTTATATGACATAATTTATGGTAAAGTAAACAAGTGGATAGGAATGAATTTTTTTAGATTTTTTAAGTTTTTTAGTGCTTGCCTATAATACAAAACATTGACAGTTAAGGGCCATAATTCAAATAAAATCTTTGACAGAATTACCTTCTCCTGGACATGTTTGGGAATCATGATTGTAAACAAGTATTCCAACTTTCAAATTAATATCTCAAACAGTTCAGTCAAAAAGTGGACTGGTACTAAAAACTTAACCAAGATTCTAAGTCGATAAAAGGCCTTAATTTTTAAAACAAATCCTTGACAGAGTTACCTTCTCTTGCGTACAGATGGGGGTAATGATGTGAAATAGCATTAAAAGTTTCAAAGCAATATCTCAAAGGGTTAAGGCAATAAGTGGATTTTACCCATATTCAATGTATTTTCTAAGTCAAAAAGGGGCATAATTCTGTCAAAAACCTTGACAGAGTTATGTCCTCTTGTCTGTTGATGAAGGTTGTGATGGTAAACAAGTATGGTCAGTTTCAAAGCAATACCTCCAATGATTTTGAAATAAAGTGAGGTGGTACAAAAAACTTAACCAAGCTCAATACACTTTCTAAGTCAAAAAAGGGCCATAATTCTGTCAAAAACCTTGACAGAGTTATGTACTCTTGTCTGTAGATGGAGGTTATGATGGTGAACAAGTATGGTAAGTTTCAAAGCCATACTTGTAATACTTCTGAAATAAAGTGGGGTGGTACGAAAAACTTAACCAAGGTGTGACGCCAACGCCGACGCCAACGCCGACGCCGACGCCGGGGCGAGTAGGATAGCTCCCCTTTTCATAGAAAAGTCGAGCTAAAAATGATACCTCTTACTATCCAGTTTTATTACATGCTTTGCAGTAGTAAATGAAATTATATTTGATAATTTTCACAGTGAAATTATATTTGATAATATTCACTGTAACCAGACTATATATTTTGGAGAAACAAGTAGATAACTGCATACATTGTGTTAAAAATGCAGCAAAATTCGAGAAATTAACAGAACTTAATTTCATTATTGGAACGATGATATCATGATGTAATGACATTATAAAGAAGAACACATGATGTCATGCGGCAAAACAAGTAAAAATGGCTTAAAATCACTAAAACGCATGAAATAAATAGAAAATTTGTTTGTTTTGCATGCAAGATTGAAATATATCTAACTGTGAACACCAGCTATTATATTTTCACTCATTGCTACGTCACTTGTGTAAATATTACATCTGGTGTTCACTCAGTGCAATATATTTTGATCTTACATGCAAAGCAAACAAATATCCTCTATGTTTTATTGGGTCTTATGAGAAAAGTAACTACTAGAAATATACCAGTAGCCTATGATGGCAAAAATTAAACATTCAATTCATTTTCTATATAAAAGTCACTTGAACAATCTCATTATAATATAATTAATAAATACTAAATGTAACAAAAAACCTTCACTATCAGGTAAACGGTAATAGTCTAGGCTAAGCAAAGAGTCAATCATTGATTTATACACTAGATGACACTGTTTGTTTTTGTTTTGGTTTTACATCACATCGACACAGTATAGACCATATCACGACGTTCCAGCTTTACTGGTGGAGGAAGACCTCAGATGACATTTTTACTCATTAAACTTCATGAAAATCTGGAGGCTTGTAGCTTTAAGCAACAAAACATAAGTCTAAACTAGAAACGTGTCCATGCTACACAGATGCCCCTACAATATAATATTTTTACTTCTAAGTACCACCTTGAACTTGGTGTTCAGAATCAAACCAGCAACCGTTTACATGCATCTACTTTGTTTTAACAAGGCCCCTTTCACACTTGAAATTCAGATTGGCATGTAAGTTTCTGTACCTCTCATGATCTTACAATTAAACACAATCCAATGTGTATAATAAATCCAGTCTTAAAGAAGTTGATAATATTTGTAAGAAGTAACTATCTATTAGTATATTTTGAAACATACTGCTACCTTTCTTTTCTATGGTAAATGATATTGGTACATCACATTTACAACGGCCAATCACAAATCTTGATAACAAATCAACATGCGTAATATTGAACTCTGCAGTAGTCTTTGTATTATCTTCTGTTACTAACTCAGCTGACTCTATTAATCCTTTACTAATGTAAAGGAAAACTTTCTGCTTTGAATCATTAGACTGAAAAAGAACGAAAAATATATTTACATGTAAGAGGGTTGTTTAACACAACAAATATCTAAATAATAAACATTTATTTTCTGACAGAAAGGTTTAAAAAAAAATTAATCTGCATTTGCATAAACTAAACTTGACAGAGGTCCACATCACAATGCTACAAACCTAATGTCTAATATCAAATGCCTAAATCTTTCTTTTAGGAAATCTTTTAAATCTTTCTTTGTCTAGTAACAAATGCCTAAATCTTTCTTTGTCTAATATCAAATGCCTAAATCTTTCTTTGCCTAATATCAAATGCCTATATCTCTCTTTGTCTAATATCAAATGCCTAAATCTTTCTTTGTCTAGTATCAAATGCCTAAATCCTTCTTTGCCTAATATCAAATGCCAAAATCTTTCTTTGTCTAATGTCAAATGCCTAAATCTTTCTTTGTCTACTATCATCTGCTGGTCATGAACAATCATCATACCAAGCTTGAAGTTCCTAGGCCTAAGCGCTCTTTAGTTATTAATCGGAAACAGGTTTTACCTACAAGGTAAATGTGACCCTGACCTTTGACCCCTTGAATCCAAAATCATTAAGGGTCATCTGCTGGTCATGAACAATCATCAACCAAGTTTGAAGTTCCAAGGCCTAAGCGTTCTTCAGTCATTGATCGGAAACCGGTTTTACCTACAAGATCAATGTGACCTTGACCTTTGACCCCTTGACCCAAAAATCATTAGGGGTCATCTGCTGGTCATGAACAATCATCAAACCAGGTTTGAAGTTCCTAGGCCTAAGCGTTCTTTAGTTATTGATCGGAAACCATTTTTACCTACAAGGTAAATGTGATCTTGACCTTTGACCCCTTAAAACCAAAATCATTAAGGGTCATCTGCTGGTCATGAACAATCATCATACCAAGTTTAAAGTTCCTAGGCCTAAGCGTTCTTTAATTATTGATCGGAAACTGTTTTTACCTCCAAGGTCAATGTGACCTTGACTTTTGACCCCTTGACCCCAAAAACATTAGGGATATCTGCTGGTCATGAACAATCATCATACCAAATTTGAAGTTCCTAGGCCTAAACATTCTTTAGTTATTGATCGGAAACCATTTTTACCTACAGGTCAATGTGACCTTGACCTGCATAATTCTGTTAAAATGCTTGATAGAGTTACCTCCTCCTGTCAACAGGTTGGGGTCATGATGGTGAACAAGTGTGCAAAGTTTCAAAGCCATATGTCAATGGACTTTGAAAAATATTTGAACTATTACAAAAACTTTAACGTAAATTCTAAGTCGAAAAAGGGGCATAATTCTGTCAAAATGCTTGATAGAGTTACCTCCTCCTGTCTACAGGTTGGGGTCATGATGGTGAACAAGTGTGCAAAGTTTCAAAGCCATATGTCAATGGACTTTGAAAATATTTGAACTATTACAAAAACTTTAACATAAATTCTAAGTCGAAAAAGGGGCATAATTCTGTCAAAATGCTTGATAGAGTTACCTCCTCCTGTCTACAGGTTGGGGTCATGATGGTGAACAAGTGTGCAAAGTTTCAAAGCCATATGTCAATGGACTTTGAAAATATTTGAACTATTACAAAAACTTTAACATAAGTGGTTACGCCGACGCCGACGCTCGGGTGACTGCAATAGCTCTACTTATTCTTATCGAATAGTCGAGCTAAAAATGGACTTAACTTTGTCAAAATACATTACAAAGTTATCCCCCCCACACCTTTTTTTAGTTATAAAACTTGACCTGCATATCTTACTTGCAACACTTCGTATATATTTGAAGTTTCAAATGATTATCTGTTCTAGTTTTAGAAATATTCAAGTACATGTTAAAATTTCAGAACATTTTCTAAGTCAATTTTTGACCTTTAAGTGTGGCCTTGACCTTAAGCTGGCACAAGGTTAAGATGGGTTCTGCACATTGCCCAGTTGGGGTGAAAATTTGAGTCAAGTTTAAAGAAAATCATTCTATTAGTATAGAATTTATAGAGCGGACACGCCATATTGTCTAGTATTGATTGTATGTAAATTTAAAGACTTAAAAAGGGGCATAACTTTGTCAAAATGCAATACAAAGTTATGAAATTTGACCTGCATATCTTACCTGTGACACCTCATATATCTTCTAAGTTTCAAGCAAATACCTGTGCTAGTTTCAGAAATATTCAAGTACATGTTAAAATATAAGAATATTTTCTAAGTCGTGTGACCTTGACCTTAAGCCGGCAAAAGGGTAACATGGGTTCTGCACATTACCTTGTTGAGGTGAACATTTGAGCCAAGATTGAAGAAAATCTTTCAATTAGTGTAGGACTTACAGAGCGGACACGACATACTGTCTAATATTTGATTGTTTGATATTTGAACTTCAATTGTGACCTTGACCTTGAGCTGACAGATAGGCAACATGGGTTCTGCACATCCCCTTGTTGTGAACATTTGAGCCAAGTTTGAAGAAAATCCTTCAATTGGTATAGGATTTATTGAGCGGACACGATAATGGAGACGGACGGACAGACTGACCGACGTGACAAAGCGAATCCATTATAGCCCCCCCACCACATTTTGTGGTGGGGTAATAACAATGCCTAAATTGTTTTTATATATTTTATGCTTGCATACCAAAACTGTGTTAAATTAAAGAAGATTTATCAAAGTTTTTGTGCTGAAAGCTTTATTTCATAACATAATTTATTTCATAAAAAGTTATTATAAAAAAGACCTCACTTACTAAACATTGCTTAATTTTTGCATAATTAGCAGGCTTTTCAGATTCAGGAATTGCAATACCAACTATTGCTATACCTGAAAGAAAAATAACACTTAAATCATACAGTCTTTTCAATAAAACACATACAATTTACAAAAATCTCATTCAACTCAAGTCAACTTTGTTGGACAAACTTATTATTGTTTGAATTATCTCTAATTATTATTAATCTTTCTCATTTACCTCCTGGTAATAGATGTTTTAATGTATCAGTTGGTGTTGTCAACGAAGCACATGCTAGCAAAGTAAAACCTGATTCGCTTTCATATCCTAGTAACAGTTTAAGTTTCTCATCTCCAATCTGGAATAAACAAACACAGTCAGTTTAAATTTCTGTATAAAAAATAAAGTTATGAATTAAAACACAGACATGATAGTATTAATGGCAGGGCTTTTATTTGCAGGTAAGAGAAGGGACCTTGTAGAGAAGGGACCTTGTTTTTGCAAAACGGGATGAAAAATCTTGATGTTAATTTCATGGAAAAACTGCATGAATGTAAATAACTTTCAAGACAGAGCCAGCCCTTTAATGTTCTATGCTGCATAAGAAAACAAATACGTGTTTGGTAAGCACAAATGCCCTCTGCCCAGATTCTTGTAAATTTCAAATTTTCCAAATTCACTCAGTTATAGACAGATAAATTCCCCAAAAAATGTAAACACAGTTATATAACTTGACAGAGTCATGACCTTTATTATGAAACATGTAAGCTGACATGCTATTTGATGAAGTTGAAAAATATTCAACTTTCCAATAATAATTTATTAAATATATATAAATGCAAGACCTTGACCTCAAACCAATTTTACCCAAACTTCAAACTTTAAGGACTGCCAGAGGTACAATGTATGTTCCTTCCAAATATGAGACATTAATAACAAATAATAAAGGATGTATGAGAATGTGTAAAAATATCTATTGTTGGCACAGGGGAGCTTGACCTTGTGACTCCCCGACACTGGACAATCCAAGGTATGTTCCTTCCAAATAGATACTTTGTACTGATAAGTGAGTGTGGAAATTAGAAGCCATTAGTACTAATAGACCTAGGGATGATTACATTGATCAGTAATCAATTTAATTACAACAAGAAAAGTCAAACGACACATATCCCCCTTTCTAGCCCTTGACTCACATTATTGGTAATTTTGTTAGAGATACTTGCCATAAATGGGTACATGGAAGTGTTCAATTATAGAAAAAAGAAAAATAATGAAGACTTTGTGTGATAAATAGTTTTAAAGATAATGAGACATTTAAGGCCACTGTGACTTAGACCTTTGAACTAGTGACCCAAAATAAATAGGGGTCATCTAATAGTTATGACCAATCAATATAAGAAATATGAAGACATTTTGATAAATAGCTTTCAAGATAATGAGCGGAAACCATACTAACATTCAAGAACCCTGTGACCTTGACCTTTGACCTAATGACCGAAAAATCAATAGGGGTCACTAACTAGTTACGATCAATCAGTATGTGAAATATGAATACTTTGTGATAAATAATTTTCAAGATAATCAGCGGTAACCATTCTGACATTTAAGGCCCCTGCAACCTTGACCTTTGATCTAGTGACCCTAAAAGCAATACCAATAATCTGTTGGTTATGGCCGATCACTATGAAATATGAAAGCTTTGTGATAATTATCTTACAAGATAATCAGCTGAAATCATACTACCATTCGAAGATCCTGTGACCTTGACATTTGACCTGGTGACCCCAAAATAAATATGGGTCATCTACTAGTTATGACCAATCAATATGTGAAATATGAAGACTTTGTGATAATAGTAACCAAGATAATAAGCAGAAATCATATAACCATTCAAAACCCTGTGATATTGACCTTTAACCTAGTGCAGGGCTCCAGATAAGATGCGTATACGCGTAAATTACGCATGGAAATAACCCGTTTACGCATTCAAAACAAAATTTAAGCGTATGAAAACGCACACAAAATTCAGGTTACGCATTGAGCAACATTTCTTTCGCGTAAACGTAACCGAAAGTAAACTCGGTGATTATTTTATTTTCAATTTCGCCTGAACGCTTTGCAAGCGTCTACCGGTAACTTCCTGTATTTCCGAACATCATTGGTTGTTATCGTATGCATAGTATGGTGGTGGAATTAACTTCGTATGAATGCTTTGCAACCAAACTCCTCACAGTGATTACCTCCCTTGGCAGAATTGTAATCACTGCCGTCACAGACGTCACATGATGATGAAAGTCACATGACGTAACGTCGAAATTCAAATGTAAATATCGACCGTTACATAGAAAATCTAACGTCATTTTTCTCTTTCTGATTTATTTTTTTACTTTTTGTACCTACTTCTGTTATATTTTATCAAAAAATTATCAAAAGTATACAAAATAATAAAAAATAAATTAAAAAGATAAAAAATATAAATATCCAAATATTGATATTTCAATGTTTGTGATGGCAGAGATCTCTGTACTGATAAGGGGAGATCACTGCGTAGGAGATTGCTTTGCAACGTCTAACGGTAACTTCCTGTAGTTCCGACTATCATCGGTTGTTAGCGTATGTATAGTAAGGTGGTGGAATTAACCGGTACAATGTCGCTGTCTAAAGTTAAAACGATTGACTCGTATTTTCAGCCGAAAAAAAATCGACCCAAAAGTAATTGTGACGGTTATAATTAATGAAATAATTAGCGCTGCCACGTATGAGCAACAGAAACATGCCTCAGGTTCAGATAAAACGTATGCCGTTTGGAAATGCAAGATTATAAACCAAGAGAGTCCAAAAAGCAAAAGAAATGACTTTGACATATCTTGTATTACACGTATAATAATACAATAAACATGGAAGCATAATAAATCTTTTACTCTTTTACATACATTTTAAGGAGTAAAAATACTCCTGTCAAATTTCAGATTTCAAGTTTTACTCATTCACAAAAAAATCAATGAGTAAATACTCATTGCCCTAAAAAATTATCTGGAGCCCTGCTAGTGACCCCAAAATTAATAGGGGTCATCTACTATCTATGACCAATCAATATGTGAAATATGTAGACTTTAAGATGAATACTTTTCAAGATAATCAGCGGAAACCATTCAGACCTAGGGATCACCATGTGAAATAGGACAACTTTGCGATGAATACTTTTGAAGATAATCAGAAATTATTTTGACATTTAAGGCCCCTGTGACCTTGACCTTTGACCTAGTGACCCCAAAATCAATAGGGGTCATCTACTAGTTGTGAACAATCACTGTGTGAAATAGGACCACTTTGTGATGATTACTTTTCAAGATAATCAGCAGAAACCAGCAGAAACCATTATGACATTTAAGGCCCCTGTGACCTTGACCTTTGACCTAGTGACCCCAAAATCAATAGGGTCATCTACTAGTTATGACCAATCACTGTGTGAAATATGAAGACCTTGTGATGAATGCTTTTCAAGATAATTAGCGGAAACCATTTTGACATTTAAGGCCCCTGTGACCTTGACCTTTGACCTAGTGTTCTCAAAATCAATAGTACTAGTTATGGCCAATTACTATGTGAAATATGAAGACATTGTGATAAATAGTTTTCAAGATAATCAGCCGATACCATGTGGTCTACCGATGGACAGACAGACATTAGCAAAATAATATACCCCCTCTTCTTCGAAGGGGGGCATAATTACTTTCAGATTTTATTGTAATTGATTAAGTTTGATCACTCAGGCTTGCCTCTGTAATCAATTAAATTACAATTACTTTAAGAGAGTAATTGATTGATAATTGATTACATTCAATGTACAGTATAATCCCTACTTAAGATTACCCCAGAATTAAGAACACCCCGCTTTTAAGACCATTTTTAAAAAATGTTCTTTATGTCAGTGGTTACTTGATCAAGAATTAAGACCACTTTCAAGACCACCAGATTCAGTCCAAATTTCTGTTTTTTTCTTAATTTGAGCCAACTATTGAGACCACTGATATTAAAGTCAACACCTATCTACATCTTAATTTGTTGTTATGATCTGCTTGATTGCTCTTTAGCATGACAAATTTTAAATGTTGCTTTCAGTACATTTATTTTGTAAAGAATTAAATTTTTATTTGATTTATGTAAGTAATATATTGACATATAATAATTGATATTGAAATCAAACTAATGAGAGCATAATGTTAAATTTCTTTAGAAATATGTTTTCCTCTCATCAGATGATTAAATATCATAGCATACTTTTATAGTGTATTTCATACTGTATTTGTTCATACAAAATGACTCAAAATGGTCATAAAGTATGTAAGTCTTAACTGAGGACTTTTACAGTATAACTTTAAAACTAAAATTATACTGCATCATGTTAAACAATAGTGATAATAATAATAGTAATAACAAGAGCACAGCTAGGCGGAGCATTATATGCTCGAAAGTGTTGTGTTTTTTTTTTTAGTAAGGATGAAGCATTTGTAAGACATGGGAATTAAATAAAGTATTACCTCCTTTAAATAGCAATCCTCCTATGAAGTTTGAATATTGTGGGCCAAATGGAACTTAAGTTATGCTCTGAAAACTGTTTTCAGTTTTGAGGTGATAGCGACCTTGAACTTTGACCTTGTGACCCCAAAATCAATAGGGGTATTCTACCCAATATGGACAATCATCCTATGAAGTTTGAACACTGTGGGCCAAATGGAACTTAAATTATGTTCTGGATACTGTTTTCAGTTTTAAAGTGATAGTGACCTTCACCTTTGACCTTGTGACCTCAAAATCAATAGGGGTCTTCTACCCAATATGGACAATCATCCAATGGAGTTTGAATATTGTGGGCCAATTTGACCTTAAGTTATGCTCTGGAAACTGTTTTAAGTAATAGTGACCTTGAGCTTTGACCTTGTGACCCCAAAATCAATAAGGGTCTTCTACTTAATATGGACAATCATCCTATGAAGTTTGAACACTATGGGCCAAATGGAACTTAAGTTATGTTCTGGAAACTGTTTTCAGTTTATAGGTAATAGCGACCTTGATCTTTGACCTTGTGACCCAAAATCAATAGGAATCTTCTACCCAATATGGACAATCATCCTATGATGCTTGAATACTGTGGGCCTAATGGAACTTAAGTTATGCTCCGGAAACTGTTTTCAGTTTTTAAGTAATAATGACCTTGACCTTTGAACTTGTGACCCCAAAATCAGTTGGGGTGTTCTACCCAATATGGACATTCATCCTATGAAGTTTGAACACTGTGGGCCAAATGGAACTTAAGTTATGCCTCGGAAACTGTTTTCAGTTTTAAGGTAATAGTGACCTTGACCTTTGATCTTGTGACCCCAAAAGCATTAGGGGTCTTCTACCCAATATGGACAATCATCTTATGAAGTTTGAATATTGTGGGCCAAATGTAACTTAAGTTATGCTCCGGAAACCAAATTGCTAACGGATGGACAGACGGACGGATGGACAGACAGATTGACGCCAGGGAGTATAACATAATATGCCCAAAATTCTTTCGGCATATAATAAAGGCATCCTTTGAATAAAACCCAATTAATATAGTTTCCTGTTAAATTTGAAAGGAATCAAACCAAATCATAATTACTGACTGAATTTAAGCTCTAATTGATTAATTACAATTAAAATAATCAATTTTGACTGAGCAAGGTAATTAATTACATGATGATTACAGTGTAATCATGTAATCAATTAAAAATCAATGATTATGATAAATGATTACCCCAGGTTTGACATAACCAGTTAAAAGTGCTGAAAAGTACATAAACATGTAAAACTTTAGATAAATGAAATCCATCTTGCTGGTTTTAGTTTACCAAGTAAGGATGAATAGGCAGTTCAATTACTGTATGCCTAGGGGCATAAAAAAGCTCTAAATGGTGATGTTTGAAGTCAATTAATGTACATGTATGCACATTCATAAATGTATATAAGTACATAACCAGTATGCCCACTCAATTTCAAATGTAGGGGCACATGAACCCCCTGTCATTGAAAATTGGGGGGGGGTACATATCAAAATCTGGGGGTACACAGAAGTTTAAACATGTTTTTGTTTGATAGAACATTTGAGTCAACATGATATTAATGAACAGTTGTTTCACTTAGTATTACTACCCACTAACACAGACACAAACTCTTATCATTTAAGGTAGCAATGAAACAGCCATTACAATCACTGATCGTTTGTTAAGTCCATGCAGTTATTACCAATAACCAAAATTTTGTATTTCCTAAATTATGTACATTTACTTCAAAAGGTCATTGTTTATATTTTTATTTCATATGACATTTGTAAAGTTCACAATTGAAGTTAGTTGTTCAAAAGATCAAGTGACTAACTTTCTTTTGATCATTTGTGAACTTTTTGGCAGTTGTAAATATCCAAAACATTTGTCTTAAGACAGTACATGTGACGTCAAGACGTGGTTAAAATATTTACAAATCAGACTGAGATGACTTTTTGAAAGCAGACATGCAATTGAGACCAGTTTAAGACTGTTCCAAACAATTGGTTTCATTATCTACCCGGGAGGACCAACCGCTGTTGAAAGCACTTTGGCCCAACCCGTTTGCTTTTGCTGTTTAGAATACATGTGAAATTTGTATCTGTATTGTATATACATGTATATAGCAATAAAATATGATTAAACAGATTAAACAGAATTGGTAGATGGCAACAACATTTAATTGATAATTTTTTTATGCATATTAGGTTATCCCAAACATTCATTCTGACGATTTTACTTTGCGTGCATGTACCCCCTGCTTACAATTTGTATGTGTGCATATAGAATTTTGTGGGTGAATTACGCACTGTATTGTGTGAATGGGCATGCTGCATAACATATAAATAATCAGAAATTATTTAGAAAAAAATAATTTTCATTCTTAGTGAAAATGTCGTATGACATGCAAATTACTGACTTCATCATTGCATTTATTTATTATTGAAAAAATGCCATTAGGCTAGCCAGAACAGTGCATATATGGTAGACATATGCTACTCATGTATGGCTAGTCCTTTTGGCTAACTGTACGGGCCCGTATGGCTAGCCACTTCTATAAATAATCTGACTACCCTTGTTACAAACTAACTCCTAGTATTTCTTGATTCTGTTGACTGTAGTGTTACATTTAGGTTCTTAGAATTAGAAACAACATAAGTTTCATGGAACTGTTACTTTTTAAGTTTGAGAGACCTAGACTACTACTTTTAAATTCCTAATGACATCCTGCAAAATTATTAGTATCCGAAATATTGCACTTCCGAATTTAGCAACAATAGCTCAAAGCATATTCAGTCTTTTGAAGAAAGTTTTATTGTTATGTTGTTATTTAAAATATAAGAATTAACAACAATGCGTGTTTTCCATTATAAGAAAACGGTAAATATCAAGCAAATAATTCGTACACGTAATAAATCTGCCAAACTGTCGGCGACGACGACGGTAGCCATTTTACTTCATACGAATATCTCCGTTGTTCGGTCACCGGAATTTGGCTAAAATCCGGTAAGGTGGTCTCTCAACCCGGTAGTATTTTTAATTATTTCAAGTCATCCAAATTGAGAATTTTACATTTTAAGTATATAAAGTATATAATTTTAGTTTATAGTTTAAGTAGATCTATATAATTTTGAAAATCCTGCCTATTAGAATTTCGAATGGCGGGAATGCCTCGACACCAACTTGTTTAGCAGGTGGTAATTAAGCCGGACCAATAGATTTGAAATTTGGGTGGTCTTTCTGGAAGTCAGGTGGTCAATTATTATTATTTTATTGTTTTTGATTTTTAAAAAAAAGAACCTGCAGATTTAGATAAAATATGCTTAAAATTGGTGACAGAGATATATTATTAACAACTAAAGAAAACAAACATTTTAGATATACATGTGTATTCTAAATAAATATAACATAGTTGAATGTTTATCTGATCAGAAATTAAGGAGAGCAAGTCAGTAGGTATTATATTGTAAAGTTATTTGTGTTTTTACCTCATTTAAAAATACATAACATATTTATGTAAAATGACCTCCCGCAAATAGTGAAATCATTTGTGTCTGCCTTATTTTCTTACTGTTATTTAAATATTCATTGCTGATACGTGGTACACTTTATAATCATAATAATTATCTTTTATTGATTAACATTTTTGATAAACTATCAAATTACCAAATTATTTACAAGGAAATATCTAAAGGATAACAAATAATACCAACATTAATTATGTATAACCACGGATTTATGTAATGTAAATCCGTGGTATAACTATACATAGTTTCACAGAATTTAACCTCCCTGTTACTTGTTTGTTGATTTTTTTTTACATGAAGTATTTTTAACCTTTCAAAGCAATTTTAACTGTGGATGAAATGAATCTCTTATTGTTAAAATAAAGATAAGTAGCCAAGAGTTAATTACTAGATACATTGCTGACATACAATTATAAGTATCTGAAATTAGTTTATCCATATCCCGTACAATATCATAATTGAAGAAAAGTACTAGCATCATTTTAAAATGAATTTGTTTACCTTCATTAATAAAACAAATTCTTTACTCTTCTTACTTGCATAAACACAATTTTAGCAAGTTGAAATGAAAGTTTTTGAAGACTTAAGAACTTCTATAATAAGATTAACAAACCACATACATGTACATCGGACAAATGATTGTAAACACCAAGTACATAACATATTTTTTACCAAATTGACATTCTCCCAAATGAGCCTTACACCATCCACGAAGTGGTCTGACGGACCAGTGGCTTGTAAAATTAGGTGGTCCTTGGTCTCGGACCAACGGACCACCGCTAATGTCGAAGCCTGGCGGGCGAGATCAATGGTTTCTGGTCGATCACTAGATTGACGATAAGGTACAGTAATGTATATTATTTTTATTATTTTATCGTCTATAGCAAGCTTATTTGAAGACCTTGTTTGGGCCCTGTGGTTAAGGTCACTGTTACTAAAATTAAAAAAATGGTCTCGATGTAATCAAACTTTGTATATATACCAATTAAGCCATGGGGTCAAAGTCAAGGTCAATTTTTCTAAAAATAGAAAAAATGGTTTCCGTTCGATAAATAGAGTTAGGTATTGTAAACCGAACTTTAGGCTATGTGGATGCAATGTACCTCGATTGGGAATCTGTGTGTGTGAGTGCGTGCGCGTGTGTGGGGGGGGGGGGGGAGGGTCAAGGTCACTGTTACTTAAAATAGAAAAATGATTTTCGAACTATAACTAGAGTTAGGCTGAATATATTGTAATCCAACTTGGTAACTACTGTTAAAATAGAAAAACGGTTTCAGTTCAAAAATCAGAGTTATAGGAATGAGATATTACAATCAAACTTGGTATATAGCAAGATTGTGAGAAGATTTGGATTGGTTTTTGCTCCCCTTAGAGTGAAGGTCAAGGTCGCTGTTACTAAAAATAGAAAAATAGTTTCAGGGGGTTGATAACTAGAGTTAGTAATGAGATATTATAATAAAAATTTGTATATATATATTAATTGGAACTGCTCCCCACACCAACACACCCACATCCAGGATCAAGGTCACTGTAACTTAAAATATTTAAATGGTTCCGGTCAATAATTAGAGTTAGAAACGAACTATTATAATCAAACTTAAATTTGAATCATTGTTAGTCAAACAAGCTAGTTTATGCGTGGCTTTGGATTGCTTTTGGTCCCATTGAGTTAATGTCTCCGGCTGTTACTATAAAAATAGAAAAATGGTTTCTGGTTGATAACTAAAGTTAGGAATGTGTTATTGTTATCAAACTTTGTACGAAGGATAATCCAGAATAGTCGTAATTAACCATTAAATTCAATTATATGTATTAAAAGTATAAATAACAATTAAACACTATGTCGCTCAACGTGTGCTAACAGCGCAAACATGGCTATTAACCATTGTTTGAATTGATGGGGGGGGGGGTCGTACGCATCTTACAGGCATAAAATCTTATTAATTTCATTTCTATATATCATTTTATGGAATAAAAAAGGTGCATGATAAAATTAGATGTAAAAAAAGATAAAATGTACGAAAATAAATATAAATAATACGTTATAGTTTTCGTAGAGCTATAAAAGTATCTGCCGTATCTAATTATTCCTAGATTCTAAAGCAAATGAATCCATCGGCTTGGATGTACTAAATTTTAATCATTGTAAGAATAAGATAAATAGAATAAATACTTAAAATACATCTTAGATAAATGCAATTCATTAATTCGAATTTTTAAACAAAAATGCATTAAAATTTCTGCAAGACTGAACATGACAGCACATTTGTCTTTTTTCAAGCGTCACAACGACTGTCACGGAGACTCATTCTTCTATCCAACCAATAGTGTGTATGTTATATCTTTAAGATTAGTGCAACTTTCTGAAAAAGCGTCTATATCCTCGAAGACTCTTGTTTCACTAACACAATATTTGTGCCGGGTTTCTTTGTCACTTTAGATGTTTCTTAAAGAGACTATCCAAACTGTTGACAGATGTTTATGAAAGCGCCGTTTTCCGGACGCCTTCATGACGACGATTCGAATAAAAGAACGTTGCAACTACAAACCGTATAATCATGATTACACAAGTATCCTAAATTGAAATGACGTTAAATTTTGTTATGGCGTATCTCGGGTGTTACACCAAGCTCCATTTTTGACATGATCCATTTTTGTATCAGGGCCTTCAAAATGGTGCATTTATAAAACTTCAAAGGACGTCGCGTTGTTAGAGTTGCACCGCTGTGGCATTTCCAGGGTTATTAAAGGCGGTCTGAGACGGTACCGGGTGCTTTTAAATCAATAAAACTTTCTTGTAAATGTATGAAACATCAAACTTTAATAACTTTTATAAAATAAACATCATTTTTTTTTCAGAATTATAAACAAAGTCCGGGTTATTTCTGGATCATCCCTCGTATATAGCAAGTTTATGCGGAGACCTTGCTTGGAATTGCTTTTTGGCCCAGTAGAGTCAAGGCTACTAAAAATGGTTTCCGGTTGATAACTAGAGTTAGGAATGATATCATCTTTTCAAACTTTGTATACATACCATTACATAATCATTTTCTCTGTGACTTTTATAATAATTACATATTCTTACAGCACAGTTTGTGGAATAGGGCATGCATCATTTTGAAATTTCGTGTTTGGTTCATTCATGGACCATTGGGAAATTTCAATATGACCTTGACTTTTCCCCACATTAACCTAATACAGTATATTGGTAATAGGAAAACCTGAGAATGTGGCCCCGCTTGCAGTGGATTTTGTTGAAAACCTGGTTTCTCATTTGTAAATGTATACATGAAGTCTCATTTCTAAGTACTTTAAAGGTTGTTTTTTTGTGTGTGAATCTTTGCGGGACTTCATCTTTGGTTGGAAGGTTTCAGGAAGTGCTATAAATGCACTAGAATACACCAAGTTGTTATCTGGATTATTGTATAGTGATAACATATATAAAAGCTGCAGAAAAAGTCCAAATATAAGTCTTATGAAAAATTGTTTGTGCTAACATTACTTGGATAGTACTTGTTGTTTTAAGTCACTGCTATCAAATTCCTTTATGCAGTGTTGTTAGAATGTTGCTTTAGATGTGATGAATTTACTACAGGATAAACCTGGGACAAGAAATATATGGCAATCTGATAAAAACCAGCTCCTACTGTTTGGGGTGTATGAAATAATATAACAAGATCTGAACTTTAGTTAGATTTCATGTATAGTAAACACAGCTTGCGGTGAAACAAACAACGTACAAAGCAGAGCACAATCACCATTGCATGCTCACCAACACCAGGGTAACGCTGTAATAATGGCAGTTTTATGAAAGATGCACTCGGACATAAGACGATCAGTGTTGTGATTAAAATCAAAATAATTTACGTTGGCAACATTTTATTTTATCGGTTTTCAATTAAAGTAATATTTAGGTTATGTATGAAGAGATACATGTATCAAGAAAAAGAATTTTATTTCTTTAAAAAAGCTGTATTAGATAATTATACAGTTGCATCTATTTAATTGAAAAAGCACTCTATTTAAAGTATTGTCGAAATACAGCTTCATAGTAATTAGGTCAAGATCCACTAAGGAAAACTACTAAAACGTCAATCCCCTTTGAGATTGTCGAAACATTGCGACCTCCTCCGGCATTGTTTACGCACCGGTCTCAAATATCGACAGTACAATGCTTCCTCCGGTAAAAAAATCCTCGCATCTTCTTGGCCCTGTCCGTCAAACACCGGATACAAGCTGAGGTGTGCCGATTGCCATTTGTAAGCCTCACCCTAGGTGACATTGAAAATAACCCAGCGATCTACTATTGCATCGTAGAAATTGTGGCATTGCCCAACAATTCTCAGCTTAATGATCTAGTGAACCTCTTGTTATTTTGTTGTTTTTCTTTTCATGAGAGAGGGAGATGGGGATGGGGGTATTTTGCATATACATTGTATTTTAGTTTATTTATATGTATCACAATATATCACATATATCGCGTTTCGTTTTTCATTTTCATTTGAATCAGTATAGTTTTCCTCGAATTGGTAATGTAACTGTAATAGTACCTTCGTCGGAAGGTTACATATAATTATTCAGTTAGTTAGTTCTTTTTGTCGACGGGAGGTGACATATTCAGTTACAATATAACAATGTTACGTTACGAGTTATATAAATCATTCAAGCACAATTAAACGACACATTAAGCCCCTTTCAATTACTTTGACCTATTTTGATTTTTATTGTATTAAAAGCTTTATTAAATTTTTGTTTCTCTTTGTTCTTTATCCAATTCTTTTTTTCCATAATTTATTTAATTACATGCTTTTAAAGTTTAATGCATGTTTTGGCTATAACATATGTATGAGAAGTAGCCTATCCAATCAAGTATAGATGTAATTTGAGTGGTCTTCTCTATCAAATAAATAAGCTGATATTCTGCACAATTTATTGGAAACCTCTTCAATAATAAAACATTGTAATATTTTCACACACACTTCCTCGAAATATACATAAAGAATAAAAATTGAATATACAATATATTAATAGACCACTACTGTTGTCATGGTAATTTTAAGGCACTGGAGTCCGTGATTCTAAAAAGTCGAGTTTATTACCCCGTGAGGACATTTTGGATCTACGGTCTGGTTCAATATTTGAAAACAGTACATTATTCTGTTCATTTCGAGAAAACAACGAAGCACGTGAATGATTTCGAGATCTCATATGAATACGTGAACTTGTCCGATCTTCGTCAATTCCTGATATAGCAAATGATGACGCAGTCCGAGGAGTTCTCGGTTTAGTAGCTTCATGTTGAATACATCCGTAGAAATGATTGTATTTAGCAATGTGAGGCTGGCGACGTCTTTGATCTTCAAAGTGAATGCATTCTTTTTCGGCAGAAACAGCTTGAAAAAGGAAAGATGTTTATTACTATTTTTCTATAGAATATTTTTGTTTATCATAATACCAAAGAAGTTTTTGGACACTTATTAAACTACATATTTATTTTGTAATATATTGTTTTATTGATACGATCGTACATGTATATACATGTATGTATCATTTGTATTATAACAGTTCTATCTTATATCTTATAGCACAAGTATTCGCTGGCTAAAACTCAACATTTGTAAATTTTCCGACTATAAACCTTCATATATTTGGACATCAATCACTCAAAGCATGCATATTTAGCGACATTATGCGCTGTTACTAATCATACTTTTGCAATGGAACATGTGCTGCAAATTCAATTGCTTATCTCGATCATTTTACGCAAAATGTCTGACTTATAAGAGGTTACATTTTAAAATAATGTTTACTAAGAATGGCTTACTATCTTGCGACGGTATTGTGTTATGAATTTGTGTTGTTGTTTTCTTCAGATCTCCAAACAGTTTGAAATTTTCTACTTCAAATCCGAGTGTAGGGTTGCTTATCTTGTCTATTATTCTTATCTGCATCCGGTCCCTCTCACGTTTGTCCGCTTTCTTTCTCTTTAGGTCAAGGTCAGTCAGACCACGATTCCACTGGAAATAAACGTATATTGAGTATATATTATAGTGCTACACCCAGGGAGAATACGTTAATAACAACTAATGAGAAATCGATTTAGAGAAATGGTTAATAAAAACACACCGCGAACGAACCGTTTAAAAGGGATTTTTTCACTTTTAAACGTTGTATTGCAAAATAAAATGTTGGAGACTGAATGCAAGCAAGAGTGAAAGTGTCAGCCTACATATTCGTCCATATTGTTGGTTTGGTACTTTCTTAAATTTAAAATGGACAAAAACAAAATAAAACAGTAGAAACCCATAACACAAGACAAGCATATATATTTAAAAGATAAGACAAGATGTCTTTATTTTCTCCAAGAATGAATACGTTATATTTACCTGATATAAAAATGTATAATTCGACAGAGTTAACTCCGCATTCTTTAAATCCATTTTTTTAATATTAAACTGAATAATCTTTTTAAAAGTCAGTATTAGTTTTAAGAAAAAACTCGTGAAACATTGTTACTTAAGGTATAGGCTGTTAGACAAAACACCCTTAAGTGATTATAACTGACGTTGTTTTGACATCATATCAGTAACTTCAAAATTAAACAACTGATTGTCTCATATCTGTCTTCAAGTAGTACCTATTGTCAATAAATAGAGATATACACATAGAACAATACCAAGTTAAAATCCATTGTTTAACTTTGGTTTCGAATTACGTACGTTTCTTCGTTTAATGTCCGCATAAAATAGTGCAATATACATGTATGATATAAATGATAGATAGAAAGGGATATGTACAGAAAGGTTTGTTGTTTTATAAGTCATAGATACTAAATGATAAGATGTGTAACTTTAATAACAGTCATTAGTTTCAGTTTTCTTTATTTTTCCATAAAATATATATCATTTAAGTAAAGCTGGTCGATTTTTTCAAGTTTTGTTTTAACATTCAAAACTGGTCGCGTATGCCAGATCATTGAAGTTAAGCTCTTTAAACATGATTTATAACCATTATAAAACATGAAAATAGTACATTATGTTGACATAACATGTGTTGGCTTGATATATATATATATATATATATATATATATATATATATATATATATATATATATATATATATATATATATATATATATATATATACTCCTGTTTATTTTTTATCTTTATACCTGTCAATAAAAATACTTAAACTAAACAAACAAACAAATGTTTGTTTTTTTATGTTACATTCTAAAAGCAGGCATTGTGTAAAATCCTTGAAACTTTATGCATTTTGTAAAATGACTGAAGTGGTTGGTCATTTTATAAAATGCCTAAAACTCCTTTTTTTCTTTTTTTGTGTGTAAAATCCCTAAAATTTTATTGAAACTTTCAAGTAATTGCCTGCAATATTCCAGGCATGCATAAATAAAGGCATATATATAAAGTATTCAAAGTTTATAAGAAAACGCTACCCCTTTTTTAACCCTTTACCTCTTATAGACGTGTTGAGACGGCTTTTCGCCCCACCCACTTTTGAGGCCTCAAACAGTGAAAATAATGCCCTATTTAGGTCCCAAACACTGTTTTTCGTTTGAGAAATGTTGATGAAAAAGAAATCACTTTTTCATCGCCGCCCACTATCAAAAAGGTACATCAATGGGATGAAGGGGGTGTGCCCCTTTCTGTTTCGGGGTTTGATCGTTCGTTCGATCGTAATGTAACATGTGACCAACGCTGAAAAGCCCATTTCTCTATCTCATTCCATTGAGAAGTTGCAGCAGTTTGAAAACAGTTTTGATGGGAAAAAAACAATGCAAAATAGTGATTCTTTGGCAATTTTGAGTTGCCCCATGTTGTCATGGTAACATGAAATGTAAGATTAAGCATGCTGTTACAGAGGCTATGGTCCAGTCAACATTTGTGCCAAGTTTCATCAGTAGTGAAGCATTTTTCATAGTTTACTTGTTGGTGAATAATGTTTCGGCCATTTTGTCTAAATTAACGATGATGTCATTTTTATACAATATGAAACAGATGATAATATCATTTTTTAAAATATCATAATGTAAATTTTATGCAATATAATAAAATAAATTTTATATAAAAAAGATAATGTTGATTTTAAAAAATTAGTTTTTTTTTACAATATTATGATGTTATTTTAGTTCAAATTGACAAGACCAAATCTTTTTAAACATGGCAATGTTAATTTTTAAAAGAATTAACATTTTTTATTACTTTATTAATTTTATTTTAAATGCTAAATTATAAAAATTTCGATCATTTTTTTATGAAAATTATACCTACATTAATTTGGGATAACGTATACTCCCGTTCAAGTTTCCCCAGCGTTAAAGAATCCATCGTGTGGTATGTTTTTTATACGTTACATGTTCATATTGATATTTATATACACACTTATGCCTTGTAATTATGAAAATGATTTAATATATTGTTTATGGGATTATATGATATAAAAAGGAGTCAGGGATTAAGTTAGTATTAATGAATAATCCCTAGCTATAGTATTTGATTTAGATGTAATATAAACTAGGACAAAAGTCCTGTAGAATTTATTTTCGGATAATATAACAAAGAGATTTTTTATTTCGCAAAAAAGCTTCCCAATATCATAAAAAAACGATTTTTGCGTGAAAAAAATTTATATTTGTTTTATTTTAAATTACATTGATATTATTAAACCATTCCAAATGTTGTGAAAGTGTCGGGCCTACTCACAGAAAAAAATATTGACGGGGCATTCAAATAAAATGTATCAAAAATCTTTATTTATCTAGGGAAAGCCGGGCCTATGGAAGCAAAAACCTCCCCAAAAAACTTGTTCTTTTTACTTCGACTTTTTATTTTTTAATTCTGTTTTTACTTTCCCTTTTTGACTTTAAATCCGCTTTTTTCAATAAATTTTTCAAACGAAAACCCCTTTAAATATTCTAAAAAATTTTTCCCCTTTAAAATTAAGGGTTTTTTAAAAATTCTTTTTTTTTTTGGTTGTCCCTTGGGTGGGGGTTCTTTTGTAATTTGTTTGATTTTTTAAAATGTGTTTAAAAACCGTTCAAGAGTTTCTCAAAAATTTATTTTTTTAAATGGGTTTTGGGGGAGTTGTTTTTCCCCTTTTAAATTTAATTAAAATCTTGAAAACTTCGGGTTGTGGTTTTTTTTAATTTAAAAATATATTTAAATTTAAATAAATTTGTTTAGTAGGCATAGTGCCCTCAGGTGGGCGGGCGGGACGATGGTTAAAAATTGACTTTTGTAGGAGGTTTTTTTGGAAAGTCTGGGTTTTTAAACCCGGCTGGGTTTTTGTGAGTTCCAAAAGAGTTTAGAGGTGCCCTGTAAGCCCCAAACCCTTTTTTGCATTTATATATTAAAATAAAAAATTTATGTAACCCAACCCTTGACTTCGATTTAAAAGATTGAAAAAAAAAAAAAAATGAACAATTCTTGTTAAAGTTTTTTTTTTAACGGGGGTTTAAAAACATTTTCTCCCAGATATTTGTTGCTATTTGCACTTATCATCCTGAGTTTTAAACTATTTTTTAATATACCTTTCAGTACTGACAATATGATATGTGAAACGAAATAAAATAAGTTGGGCTCTAATGTTTAATGATTTTGGGGAATTTTTTATGGGTGAATGTGTGTTTGTACCAAACCGATTTTCAAAAGAAATTTTGAATCGAGGTTTCCGAACTTATTATTGAATTTTCAAACTAGGGGCAAATTTACACCGAGAATTCTAGGATTTTTTTAGATTTAAAGGGGAAAAACCCCCCATAAAATTTGGGATTTCACGATATTCTTGTCAAAGCGGCAATTTTATTTAGATTCCTAAAAGAAGTTTAACTTTAAAAACGTTTGGGATTTAACCCACGTTTTAATTATACCAATTCCAAAAGAGTGAAAAATTTGTGGATAAACATATGGGTTATAGGTTTTTGTAGCAACGGCTTCAAATTAATCATATTGTGAAGACAACTCATTAGGAAGTTATGGGGGTAATGAAGATTTTAGATCCTGAGGGCACTCATCTGATCTGAGAAGAACCTATCGTCTCAAAACGATATGATCTGGCTAGAGGTATCGGATACAAACAATAATCCATACCTCATTTCAAAGTATTTTTTTTCAAATTCCCTGAAGTCAATTGAAAATGCACTTCGTATCATACGTTGTGATGCTAGAACAGAATACTCTGATGTATACCTTTACAACAGTTCTTTCGGGTACAATGCAATTGACGCTTTTGCAAAACACAGAAGTGTTATAATTGGTAAAAGTATCTTCCAATCAGCGAGTTGAACGTTTGGTTAGGCTCTTAACGACAAGAAGATTTACAGTGGTGGCTCAGTTTTTTAAAGGACTTGCGGAGTATCCTTGACGATATGATAAACTCGACCCAGTCCACTCTGTTAATCTGAAATTTTGCTTCATGGATCTAATTCAAACACACCTTGATCGAATTGCTCAAAACTGGAATACTCACGCTATTAGACCCCAAAAAAAATAACGAGCTCAAATTATGGAAACCTGACGTAAGGTTTATTTACCCGAACTTTGATAGTCAAGATTTTCGGTACAAAATTGAAATATCAAGACGTAATTTGTTGTCAACGGATGTATATTCAATTCCGAAGAACAGAAAATAAAGACTTTAAAGAAGTTGGCTAAACTCTTGAAACCGGATTTACAAATGCACATGACGCTGAAACGGCATTGCAATTGTTTTTTTCGAGTTTTAATTTAAATTGGTATGGTTAGCAGAAACCTCCCGGCTAAACGAAAATTGCAAAGGGACTACCCCAACCCTGAAAAATATAAAAATAGCTATACAAAATTATTTTTATGTCTCCGAAACACTTTTCAATTTGGGGTTTTAAAATATTTCTTTCCCCCGCTTTTTCTTTCAAAGGGGGAAATGGGGTTTTTTGAAAAAAATTTAGCACTTTCACCATCTTTGAGTGTTTTTCCAAAGTATAAGAACTTTTTTTTGCACTGAATTTCAAAGTCACACTTAGATTTTTAAAAACGTCCATTCTTAAAAATAAAAGTGGGTTTTGAATAACTTAAACCAAATTTCCCACATCACGAGACGAAGATTGCTATATACAGCCGAAACCCTGAGATAAAAGTCAAGGTCACTTAGACAAAATTTTTTAACAATCTGTTAAGTAACTTCTTTATTATTTAAGCCCAAGCCTTGGGATCGTTTTAAACAAAAATTTTCATTTTGGAAAAAGGCAGGCCTTCCTGAAATGTCAACATTTGGTTTGACCAAAACTTTTGAATTGACTTTATCATTAAAGGGTTAGAAATGTGTCTGCATTACCGGGGACACTCTTCTCACCGGCTGGTGAACGTTTTGTGCCCAAATTATTTAAAATCCCCATTAATGTAACATAGAATGTACTACTGAACCGTTTTTGCCGGTAAAAACTAACCGCTATAATCGCACTCGGGTGGTTTTTGCCGCAGATATTGCAACGAGGGGTTCCGCCTATCCAGTGGAGATTTGGCGGCAAACCGGTACTCCTACCAGGCTGGAAAAGATAAACAGAGACAGCCTTTTCCCTGTGGAACATTAATAGCTATCCTCATTTGATAAATTCGACAGTGAATGTTTTTCCCTTTTTTGAATTCAATTTATTATATCATTCCGTATGTTGATACAGTTGTATATCAACTTTTGTTAATAATCTCGCCGCACCTCAAATTCAAAAAATGGC